GGTGCCTGATTTATCATTCCTGAAGTAAACAGCAGCATATAAACTGGGGAAAGTGAGCAGTGAAGAGAGCAACCCTGCAGACTCCAGGAAGAGACCCAATACTATACCTCCAGAAAGCTTCACATGTAGCACAAAAATCTCTCATTGAATCACAAAAGAGCAAAGTAAAACACTTGGGTAAGGCATCTGAGGTGGATATCATGGCAAACTAGCAGGAAGAGGAACCTGAAGTATGAGAACCAACCTCAGCACATTATATTAAGCTAAATATTACCAGAGCACAAAAATAACCAACATCCACTAAATGGGCTCGAACCTTGTGGTCAACCATGACCAAGGTCACTGGAAACTTGGGAACCTGGATATTGAGCTGCCCCTTATTGATATTCTTTCCATTCCAGAATACTTGGAGAAATGAAGCCATTTCTCCAAGGAGAAAAAAGAATTGTTCACAAACCAGAATCAAATAAAACCTCATAATGTCACCAGGAAGCATCTGGAACCTAACTGATAAGTATTCAGGCTATGCCAGGCAGGTGAGACTAGCACTGAAATTTGCTGAAAAGGCAAGTCCCAGACCTTGAACTGAATCCTAGATATAAACATCCAGGGAAGCAGAGGCAGCATCCAGCTCAAACTGGAATAGATGATATTACAAGAAACCAATCTGAAGAAATGGGCTCTCAGGTTTTGCACCAACGCTCACCTAGCTAAAAGAAAACCAATTGCCAGTCTTCTGTAACCTTAAATCCTGGGAATCTTTCCCCGCCTCAAGAGAATTAAATTATCAGGTGGCATAATAGAAATGGGACTGCTGGATTGTTTCAGGTAAAGGTTAGAAAATATATAAAGTTTGGTTTGGAGAAGCCTTGAATGGGTTATAGGACTTCTAAAGTTCCTGTATTATGTAACAGATAATCATTGACAAATATCACACCCATGAATGAAAACCTGAATCCAGAAGGCAGAGAGACTGAGGAAACAGGAAGGTCCAACAGTGTCTGAAAACCCTGATGTTTTATCCCTTAAAGCTTTAAGGCACAAACATTAACTTTATTTAATAAATACACAATTAAGTTAATGAATTCCATCAACAGGTCTGGCATGAATACCAAGTCGCAAGGACTACCTAAACATTGGAGCAATTCGAGAGAAATCCCAGGGAGAACAACCGAACCCACCCGAGAAGATAAATTTGTCAAGGATGCAAGAAATGCAAGCTAACACTAGTTTAGGCAATCCTGAATAAGTCAGGGCTAAGTAATCAGCTAAGGATATAGAAAGTGGAAAGCAAAAATACAATCAAGAAGAATCATGAAAATGAATGAATAAATAGGGCAACCAGCAGGATAACGAAGTCCCAAGCATTGCTAACCTCACTCAATACAAAAAACAATGCCAGGCTTTACAGAGTGACAGTGCTTGGAACAAAAGAAAAAAAGAAAAAAGTGATGAGGCAGGTAAGCTGGGTCCTTGGGTGACCCTCAGCTGCCACCTGGTGTTGACATTGGGAAAACTACCATTTCCATTATATCATAATTAAATTGTTCAAGATACATAGTTTGTTTTCCTTTATTTATACTGTCAAGGAAGTTTGTCTCAGTTTTGGGTCAAACTCTCAGCCCCATGCTTGCCTTGCCTCCAAGCACACCACACACTGGTCACGGTGTTTGGGAGGCCCACACAAGTCTGGTAGTTTTGAAGATATCTCTGAGGAAGATGAGGTAGTCTCACTCCAACACCTTGCTGCTTAACACACAATGTGAACTTGCCATAATGTAACTTATTTGTTTAAATCAGTGAAATGTACAAAAACTGAATTGTTTGACTTGTATGAAAATTGTTGGCCAAAAATAATAAATAGCAAACAGCCAATCTATGAACACTGGATAAACCGAGTTGTTTTCAGTTCAGGTATAGTCCTTTGTTCCAGTAATTCTGAAAATTTATAGTGCAATGAGTACATCCATGGAACACACTAAATTAAGAATTCTCTTAATCTGTATATTGATTAAAGTTATTTGAATAGGAATCACAGATGAGTAGGGTACAACTCTTGAAACAACTTTAAAAGGGTGCAAACAATACACTTACAGAACACCAGGAAATCTAGGCCAGTTAAAAAAAAAAAAAATTAACTAACTTAAATACTGAACTCATTAATCCTTTGCATGTGTAGCAGTAGTTGCATTCCATATTTGGTAACCAGCCAGTAATAATTGCTCTAAACTTTGTTTTCTCCTTTCATGTAATTTTATTATATGATATTTCTAGAATTAAAAAGATGTTCTTTTCATCTATAATAGTAAAACCCTCTCCTATTTTTTTCCTTGCCATTTTTTTTCTTAACCTTCATCCTGATAAAAATTGAACCAAGTGTCTCAATATCACTACACAGAAAATCAGTTAAAATTACTCCTGTCTTTCTTTAAAACCCAATTTGTTTCCTTCATATTTATTACATTCATATAAAAAAATCTGATTTTCATGCAGTCATTATAGCACTCAATGGTGATCCAAGTTTTGAACAAGAGAAATAAATAATGGAGAAGACTAGTAAACAGCACTGCCAGGAGAGCATAAACAGGTGGCACTATAGTGCCACCTGTCCAAGTTGAGTATTGCTTAAGTCGTGAAGTATCACGACCTGAGCCTTACCAAACATAACGCTTTACTCTTACCAAAACTTGTTTAACAATCAGTCAAGACTCAAAAGTCAAAAGTTACACTACCTTTCTGCAGAACAAAGCTAAAGAACCATGTCTCTTTGGTTTATCTTTTTTCTTGTGTTCATTTGATGTGTCTGATAACCCCTCAAATGGATTTTCTTCATTGCCTTCAGAAGCATTTTGAGGATTTGTTGGCACAGTGTATAAAGTTGTCACTCCATTCTCTTTCACCTGCAAGTAAACACGTATTTGTTGTTATAAATTCCAAAGAAACAACTATGAATACAGGTACTATTATTATTAACATTTAAAATTAACATTTACATTCTTTCGATTTTACCTGAACAGTAATAATGCTGGGCGACTTGTGAACAGACGGAGATGTAGTTGTAGTCACCACTGAAGATACAGGAGGCATACGGTTACAGAGACCAGCAGGTCGAGAGAAAGTAAGCACAGGGGGAGGATCAAGGGAACCTGATGTAGAAGAAGGAAAGAGTGTCCTTCTAGCAGATGACTGACCAATTGGTGACTGGAACCTTTCTGATATTGTTGACAAAGGTGAAAGCTGGAGATCTGAAAAAAAAAGTGAATCCACATTAATGGTCATGGTACACTAAGCCCTGGAAATTCTCTAAACAATTAATTTTAAAGGATGAGGAATTAAATGCATGCATCCATGGTTTTATTGATGACATTTGCATTCTTATAAATGTCAAGAGCCCACTGTTCTGTGGCCTCTTGACATTGTTCTGTGAGGCCACTTGCACAAAACAGACTGCATAATACAGTATTTTGAATAAAACTGAACAAGAGAAATATCAGACTCTTCAAAGGCATTATTATAGCTTGTGTAAGTATGGAAAGTATCTTAAATTAAAGAAAGTTGTTTAGCATGTTTGTCTAAAAGTGTCTTACAAAAACAACAGGAAATTTCTTTGCATCACAAATTATTAGGAGTTACTCTTCTTTCTTTCCTGGGGACAAGAAAGTCAGGACATTCAACAAGGATATGTACGACCGTAAGAGGGACAATGCAATTAGGACAATAAGGAACAGGGCGGCGCTCCAAGTGACCATGAGTTGAGTGAGTATGCCCAATACGCAACCTCGCCAGAGCTGTTTCCCATCGCCGGTTACGGTGGTAGGAGGACGGCCACGAGGACACACAACTTTTAAGAGAACGTAGTTTGTTACCAGTAACAGATGACCAACAAGCCTGCCAACAGTTAAGGATGGAGGAATGGATAACCGGGTAAAAGTCGGAATAAGGAATACCTTTACGAGAGATGGGACAAGAGCGGACAGCTTCCCTGGCGGCAGCATCTGCACACTCATTTAAAGAGACACCAATATGGCTGGGAACCCAACAAAACTCAACCGACTTAAATTTACTGTGAACAAGAAACAGCCAATACTGGATCTCGACAACCACTGGATGAACCGGATTAAAGGACCCAAGAGCCATGAGGGCACTACGAGAGTTAACAACAACTACAAAGGAAGATTGACAACGAGAGAGCAGAAGACGAAGAGCATAGCATAAAGTTCCGCTGTGAAGATGCTAGTCTCCAGAGGTAAGCGACACATAAGTGTGATCAGGAAAAACAACAGAGTAGCCAACACTGTTTGCAGACTTAGACCCATCAGTGAAGACGGAAACGGAGTGGGAGTGAGAAGAAAAGTGCTCAAGGAAAAGGTGTTTTAGAACCGTAGGAGGGGTAAAAGCTTTAGGGATGCGGGTCAAGGGCGTACAAAACTGCAGAAGGGGGACTCTCCATGGGGGCAAAGAAGGAACTACATGAGGAGAAATATTAGAAACACGAACAGAAAAAGAATCCTGTAAGCGAGATAACCGGACAGAAAGAGGGAGGCGGTGAAGAGGAACAGGAACCACAGGAGGGGTTAAAGTTAAAGCACGACAGAGGCGAGAGGAAGGATGTTGCAAGGACCGCGCAAGATAGCGAAGACAGTAGCGATCACGGCGGTCCTGGAGAGATAGGAAGCCAGTATCAACATACAAGCTGAGGACGGGAGTCAAACGAAAGGCACCAGAACTGAGGCGCAACCCAGTATGGTGCAAAGCATCAAGACGGCGAAGAGTCGAAGGAGAAGCAGATGAGTAAGCAGGGCAACCATAATCGAGCTTAGACAGGACGAGAGAGGAATGCACAGCAAAAAGAGTGCGCCTATCCGCTCCCCAAGATGTATGGAATAATACCCGAAGGTGGGTAAGGGCCATAGAGCACTCAACACGGAGGTAAGAGATATGGGAAGACCAAGACAAATGAGTGTCAAAGAATAACCCCAAAAGCTTCGCGGAATCTTTGTACTCAAGGGGATGACCATAAAGTGACAGGGACGAAGAACGACCCATTTACGAGTAAAAGTCATGGCACAAGTCTTAGCAGCAGTGAACTTGAAGCCATGATTGGTGGCCCAAGACGACACGGCATCAATCACAAGTTGACGCCAGCGTTGAAGGAGAGGCGAATCATCACCCTGACAGCAAAAGGTAAGATCATCGACAGTGTGTGGAGAAGACGCCTGAAGGAAGAGAGGAAAGAAGACCATTGAGGGCAACCAGAAAAATAGTGCTGAGAACACTACCCTGGGGCACATCTTTGTATTGGTGAAAAGAGGCAGAGAGCGGTACCAAGCCTCACTCAAAAGGAACGCCGAGAGAAGAAGCTGCGGAGAAAGAGAGGGAGATGACCACGAAGGCCAAAAGAATGAAGCTGGGATAGAATATAATATCGCCAAGTGGTGTCGTAAGCCTTTTCCAGGTCAAAAAGGACTGCAACAACGGAGGTCGTCGCAGCAAAAGCAGTACGAATATAGACCTCCAAGTTCACCAGGACATCTGTTGTGCTGCGGCACTTGCGGAAACCAAATTGAGAAGGGGAGAGGTGGTGATGGTGTTCCAGGAACTACATCAGACGAACGTTAACCATACGTTCAAAGAGTTTGCAGACACAACTTGTGAGGGCAATAGGGCAAAAGTCCTTAGGGGATGTTCCCAGAGACCCTGGTTTGTGAACAGGGAGGACAACGGCATCAAGCCAACCCTCAGGGACTGACGACGACTCCCAGATCCGATTAAACAGATTCAGTATATACCGAGACATGCACGGAGAGAGATGGCGAAGCATCTCATAATGAATACCATCGGAGCCCGCCGCCGTAGAACCGCAGAGGGCCAGGGCAGAACGAAGTTCAGAGAGAGAGGGGATCGTTATAGGGAAGTCGAAGACAAGTGCAGAAATCTAAAGGACGAGACTCAAGAACAGGTTTATGAAGAAGGAAAGATTGGGGAAGATGAAGACCAGAGCTAACAAAAGAAAAGTGGGAACCCAGTTCGGTAGCAACCTGCAACGGGTCCGCCACAAGAGTACCACGGAGGTGAAGGACCGGTGAAACATTGGGAACGAACTTACCCGCTATCTTGCGGATACGCTTCCAGATCTGTGGCAGAGGAGTTTCAGACGTAATGGTGGAGACATAAGATGCCCAACATTCATGTTTAGCCATACGGATGGCCCTATGGGCCACCGCACTTGCCTTCCGAAAGAAAAGAAAAGAATCAGCCGTCTGCCGACAGCGGTGTCTCTTCCAGGCTGCACGCTTACAGCAGACAGCCCGAGCACAGTCTGCATTCCACCAGGGAACACACTTCCGTGGACCCCGAGAGGAAGAGCGAGGGAGAGGCAGAAGGGAGAGGTCAGAGAGAGCAGCACTGAAGGTAAATAGGTTCCAGTCCACTTTAGCAAACTGCCACCTAGGGAAGGAGAGGGGAGGGTGAAAAGAGAAAAAGGTAACAAGGATGGGGAAATGGTCACTGCCATGGAGGCCATCAAGAACCTGCCATGTGAAATCTAAGTAAAGAGAAGACGAGCAAAGAGACAGATCAAGACAGGAAAGGGTGCAAGTTCGAGAGTCCAAATGCGTGGGGTCACCAGAATTCAGAAGAGACAGGGAAGAAGAGAGGATAAATGGCTCAAGAAGGCGACCTCGGGTGTTCGTCAGAACATCACCCCAAAGGGAATGATGACAATTGAAATTACCCAGCAAGAGCACAAGCTCCGACAAGGAGTCCAGTAGGTGTTTCAGATCGGGAAGAGAAAGCGGGACACTCAAGGAGAGATAAATGGAACAAACAGTGTACCATTTCCCCACAAAGATACGAGCAGCAGAACAATGGAGAGGCGAAGGAAAAAGTAAGGGGACAAAGGGAACATCAGAGTAAATCAAGAGAGCAGAAGAGTTAGGAGCCCCAGCAAGAGCTGGGGGGGGGGGGGTGAAAGGAATAGCCATGAAAGCGACCAGGACGAGCACTAAGCATCGGCTCCTGGAGACAGACACAAAGGGAAGAAAATCAGAAGTTAGAGTTCAAGGAAATTGGCGTAATAACCCTGAACGTTCCATTGAAGAATAAACAACGAACGAGAAGAGAAAGGCCAACAGAGGACAAGAAAGAAACAAAGGCGAAAGAGCAACATAGCACGTTAAAGAAGATCAGGGTTGGGATCAGGGTCAGCAAAGTCAGGGTTAGGGGGCATGGTAAACTGAGCAAAGACGGAGGGAAGGAAGCGGGAGAACAGACCAGAGGGGGACAGGCGGGGTCCGGAGGAGGAGGAGGAGGAGGAGGAAGAGGAGGAGGAAGAGGAGGAGGAGGCAAGGACAGCAGCAGGAAGAGGGGGTGTAGAAAGAGGGGAGCGCACCTCAGCAAGGGCAGCAACCGAGAGGGAAGCAGGGACCAAAGAAACCTCCATAGCAGGAACAGGGGGCGCAACCACCGAAATGGGAGGGGAAGGAGCGATAGTCAGAAGTAGGGGCCGAGGAAGAAAGAAGCCTTTTTATCTGCCGGGGAGGAGGAAGGAGAGGAGCCAGGCTTACGCTTCTGACTTAAAGAGACAGGTGTCCCAGCAACTACGTACTGGGCAACGGATTCCAGCGTCTCAACAGGAGAAGCTGAACGAGAGCACACACGATGGCCGTTAGGAGAACGATGGACATCAGCCCACACTGACAGGCGGCGGGGAGAGTCAACAGATGGAGGAGAAGGACGGGAAGGAGGATCGGAGGGACACAAGGAAGAAGACACAGAAGACACGACAGACCAGGCAGAAAGAAGAGGAACCCCAGACAGAGGACCAGGAGGGGGACCCTTTGGGACAGAACGCAAAGGAACAGAGGAGGGGGCAGTGGGCGTATCAGGGTCCAAGGCCCGGAAACGGTTGCGAGTCTGAGGAAGGTGGGAAGGACGATGAGAGGAAGAGTGCAACACACGAGCATAAGACATTAGCATAAGGCGGGAGCCGGGTAACCTGGCACCTCGCATCAGGAAAAGATAAACGCTCCCGGTGCTTCAAGTTGAGGACAGCTGCCTCAAGCTTGTAATGGATACAGGCATGGGAGAAGGTAGGGAGGGGGGTTGCGCAGACAGCGGCGCAGGGATGTGGTGACGTTATGCTAGCTTGTTCATTTTCATTTGAGGAGTTCTGTCCACTAGTTCGGCTTTCAGTAGCAATATTTTAACCGGAGTAGAGGGTTTGTTTTGGGGCGCTGACCTTTCTGGGTGCCTGACCCGGTCGATGGCAAACAGAATGTTTCCAACCACACGGAGGTTTCTGTAGGCCATTGCTCCTCGTGCCTCACTGAGGGGGGCCAGGTTCTGGTGCTCATGGTCCCCAGTAGGCCTAAAACTCCATGCACATTATGATGCCAGGGTCTAATACATTCATATCAGCCTGGTTAGCTCCGGGGAGCCGAAGGGGCTTACCCACCCCCAAGAAAAAAAAATAAATCGGACATTCAAAAAATTAGGTAATAATATTTTTGTGCCAACCCGTCTGACAGCTCAGGCGGAGCAGACCGGCCCCAGTCACCTACTCTGTCGGAGCCTGAATCTTCCCAGACTTCCTCGCCCTACTGCGGCCAAAATATGTCTTGAGGTTATCTTGAGATGATTTTGGGGCTTTAATGTCCCCGCGGCCCGGTCCTCGACCAGGCCTCCATCCCCAGGAAGCAGCCCGTGACAGCTGACTAACTCCCAGGTACCTATTTACTGCTAGGTAACAGGGGCATTCAGGGTGAAAGAAACTTTGCCCATTTGTTTCTGCCTCGTGCGGGAATCGAACCCGCGCCACAGAATTACGAGTCCTGCGCGCTATCCACCAGGCTACGAGGCCCCTTCCAGGCTACGAGGCCCCTCCTCGTAGCCAAATTGTCTCCTACAATTTTTTATTATTTTTCCCTGTAATCAGGGAATTCACAAGTCAAGCCTGGCCTCGGGCTGGGTTTGGCGAGTAGAAGAACTCCCAGAACCCCATCAAGCAGGGAACAATATTTTAACAATTTTAAAAGGAAAAATTATTTCTAATTTTTTTCTTGCACACAGCAGTGCTATCGGCTATTATTAGCAGTGCCGCCCAGGGGTTAAGCTTAGAAAACAAAGGCAAAGGCGCAGAAAGGATGTCCGAAAGTTCTGTTTTGCAGAATTGTAGATGGTAAGAGCAATTTAAGTGAGGTTGTGGAGAATAACAACCATCTGAAACCAGAAAATCCGCCGAGCGTTACCAGTCAGGGAGCACCCATCCGCACACCCACAACACCCGTACTAAAATGTTTATACTCTTTACAGTTTTCTCACCTCGATTTTCATGCTACGTCGTTCATTTTGGTATTGTTCACAATCGAAAGTTGTGCATTTGGGAACTATTCCCATAATAATCGAACAATAAATGAAATTTTAACATTTTAATTTTGGGCGCAACATGCGTCCCCGTAGGACATCTGTAGAGTTATTTATGGACATAATTTCCGTCCTTGCCCATCAAAAGTGTTAATAATTAACACTGCATGTTGCTATTTACTGTATTCTCATCTGTGTTTTTCTGCATCAGTAAATTTTTCTCTAAATTTGATTGTTCCTGCCATCAATGGCTATTGAGCCTCCCACTCTCATGCTGTGAGTTATGGTACAAACAGATAAGAGGCTACAAAAGATCATAAGAAGGTTCAAAGAGGTACACTGATACTTATACTTTCCACGTACATATCTCTTTAAACTTCAATCGGTAACAATAACAAAAATACTTACTGTTAGGAGTACCCTTATCAGTGACTAGTTTTGGTAATGGAGACATTGGATTTGAAGACAGGCTTATGGAAGGAGTGATTGGGTTCATCTCTGTCTCCAATTGATCAGAAAAGTTTACATCCTGACACGAGGGAACATCTAAATTACCAGGATGTAGGATCTGCCATAAGGGCGATTCTGCCTTCCAGGCAAGAGAATCTAGGATCTGCTCTTCAATCTGTAAAGAAATTTTAAGCAACTAAATTACTTTCACATGAACTTGCTACTATAAAACATGGAAGCTCCTGATTAAAACAATTATCCTCAACAATCACTCCTAAACTCCCTTGTTGCATTCCAATGTCTGTAGGTCATTCCTATCAACTTGCTGAAACATTTAATGATATTCTTTCTGCCTAAACACATCACATTCCTTCATAATCACTATCCATATTACCAATTTGACACAGTCTTGCATTATCTCAATGTCTCAAATTTCCCAACAATTTGCCTGATCATGTATTTCACCAACTCATTGGACATTTTTGTGTAGATACAAAATGAATACCATGTTAAATTTAAGAATACAAATAAAGAATATTTGTTTAAATAATGAACACACACATAGCTAGAGGAGACACTAAAGACAAATATACTCACCCCTTTAAGGTGCTTAACTAGTTCTCTTGATAACTGATTGTCAGATTGTTTTTCTGATCGTATTACAGGCTCAATGATCCGAATGAAGTAGTAAGGTTCTACATGCCCAACCTGTGAAAATGAATTAAAAAATTTAAACTGCACAACTGAAATTATGTATCCTAATGCCCTTTCCCTTCCACACATTGCATCAGAATTAGCAAAAAGTAAAGAGAAGCATCAAAAGGTTCCTAGCAGTTGCCAAGGAGCCACAAGATCTGCAAAAAATCACTCTGGTGCAGTAAGTACCTGCATGAGTTCGCATCAGACAATGCAAATGAGTATAAAAAAAAAAAGTTGAATGTAATGAAATGCCATTTTCTGGGCAAGACCCAGAGGGTCCTTGGAGCTAACTGGGCTGATATAAATGTATTAAACCCTGGCATCAGTCGAGCGAATGGAATTCTTAGGCCTACCGGGGACCACGAGCCAGAACCTGGCCCTCTCAGAAAGGCACGAGGAGCAATGGCCTATAGAAACCCCCCGTGTGGTTAGAAGCATTCTATGTCTGCCATCGACGGGATCAGGCACCCAGAAAAGTGAGCGCCCCAAAACAAACCCCTATTCTGGTTAAGAAATTGCTACTGAAAGCCGAACTAGAGACAGGGCTCCCCAAGATAAAGAATCAGGAGGAACAAATCAAAGATCTCTGAGAAAATGAGGTATGGAAAGTGAAGAGTGGTGACTTTGAAGAAATAAACAAGAAAATAGACTCAAATGCAACTCCATAGTACCCTGAGGACTCTCATGGAATTAGGCAAGGATATGCAATAAGAAACTTCATTGACAACTCACAAAGAGGTTAATAAAGAACTGAAAAAGTATGAAGACATATAGTAGGATTAGGAGAGGGCCTAAATTCAAAGGAAATTGTCAGTGATTTTAGGAGGGTAGGAAAATATGAGAGACAAGAACCGCCCCTTATGGGTGACATTTAATGGAGTGAAACATATGACGGAAGTGCTTAGAAATGCCAGGCAATTGCAATGTGACAAGGATGGCAAACTTTGGTCAATAAGACAAGACCTCTCCAAGGAAGACAGGAAAAAGCTGAAAATGAACCTCATTGAAGCGAAACGTCTAAATGGGAATAGAAATTAAAAATTCTTTTTTCTACAAAGTGTTAGGGACTGGAAAGCTAGTGAAATGGTACATGAAAACAAAGCAACAGAATCATTAGAGGAATGGGGGATTAAAGAACAAAGGGAAGGGGAAATTGTTCCTGAAAATAGCATATACCAATAAATGGAGTGCGATCAAAAATATTGGAGCTGCACGATATAATTCAGCTTAAGGCCCCAGATATTGTCGCATTAACAGAGACAAAACTTGATGAACATATTTTAAATGAGGTCGTATTCCCAAGGGGATACTGTACTCAGTTTGGAGACGTGACAATAAAGCTAGGAAGGGGGGGAAGTAGTGGGTGTGCTAGTGAAAGAACACCTGAAGGTAAGAGTTAATACTTGTTAACACTTTCGCCCGGGCATGACGCAGCATTGCGTCATCCGTTTACTGGCGGTAATACCGGGGATGATGCAGCATTGCGTCATCCACTTTAAATAATCGCCAAAAATCAGGTTTTTATCCAAGTTTTTTGGGGACTGGTTTTAAAATGCGCGCCGATGTCTTCCCATTTTCCTTGTTACGCCTCGTGGCCCGCAGGCGGCTCGGCACACGCCATCGGCCCATTGTTTTCGCTCCACTGTTGTGACCAATGTCGCCTCCCCTCGCATCTCAAACGTGTGAACATTTCGGCTATTTTCCGTGGCTATATTTCTTACTGCGGCTTTAGAAACTATCTATGCTTACTCCACGATGTATAGTGATCATGAACAAGGCCCTACCAGGAAGAAATTTGCGAAAGAAAGGCTTGAAAAGGGGCGGGAATTGGGAGTGTAGCTGGAAGGCATCCGAGCGCTCACTCGCGGCTAACGCATGGCCCGTCTTCAACTCGTCAGCGGTTGGAGCGTGACCAGGTTTTTTTATTTTATATGCAAATGTTCCTCTAGAGAATTCTATTGCAAACCCATTGAGACCAAAATGAAAGACCTAGGACGAAAATTGAGGTGACCAGAGTGAAAATAGTGAAAACATTTTATCGCGTTTGCTCGCTCCTGGGTAACTCGTTCGCACTTTCTCTGTTTGCTGCGAGTAATTAGCCGGGCTTTTAGAGTTTATATGCATTTAGTGCTGTAGAGAATTCTATTGCAAACACAATGATACCAAATTTAATCTCGTAGGACGAGAATTAAGGTGACAAAGTTGAAGAGAGTATACACTTTTCAGAATTTACGCGCGCTCCCGTGACACCCTGAGGCCCAAATCGCACAGTTGAGGGGTGGCGCGCGGGGTACGCCAAAGTGTTAATACTAGAAACGTGAACATTATGGCATTGCAGGTCTGGAATCATAATGATAAACTGATAATTGTAAATGCCTACAGCCCATCGACTAGCAACACACGGACACCAGAAGAACTGGATGACAAACAAGAGCGCCTCATAATGGTCATGAGAGAGTATCATAAATGTAGATAAAGACATTCCACATCGTTAGAAGAAATAGGGTAGAAATGAACACCATGTTCAAAATTTTTAAGGGAAATGATAGGGTAGATAAGGATATTATATGGACTGGATGATGTTTCCAAAAATATAACCAGATATAACATAATAACCAGATAGAGAGCCGGTGGCTGAGCGGACAGAACACTGAGCATGTGATCCTATGGTCCAGGGTGCCGGCGAGAAACAATGGGCAGAGCTTTCACCCTGATGCCCCTGTTACCTAACAGTAAATAGGTACCTGGGAGTTAGTCAGCTGTCACGGGCTGCTTCCTGGGGGGTGGAGGCCTGGTCGAGGACCGAGCCACGGGAACACTAAGCCCCGAAATCATCTCAAGATGACCTCAAGAATAGAATCTTTTTTTTTTCCCCTCCCGCCCCTTCCTCCTCTCCAACTTCAATACAGAGTTATTCAATATATCACAACATTGTGTAATGCTTAAAGAGGTCAAGTGGCAGAGGTAGATTACATACATCATTTAAATTGTAGGCATATTAAAACCCAATAGGCTTGGGACCTGTTTACTAATTGATCAAATTTTGAGAGCCAAGACCAAAGAACTGAAGCTCAACACCCCACAAGCAAAATAAAGTAAATCAGGCAAATACTGTATACACATACAATATTAGATACACAATCATTCAACCTGTCATATAAAAGAGAATAGTACCTATAGTGACTGCATACAAAACATAGACCGTTGCAACTGCAAAAAGCCCACATTTTGAACTATTAATTTTGTAGATGGCCCAAGAAAGAAGGCAACAACCAAACAACTTTTCCTAGGTATAATAAAATACATGTATGTATTAAATCATCCTCCCATGATTGCATATGTTAGACCTAGGACAGGGTTAGTTTTATGGTTATTATTGTTTCACTTTTTGTTATACCCTTTTTAGAGTTCCAACAAGTATTGTGGAGTTCTTTGGGTATAGTCCATTTTTGTACATTCGGTCCATGATAGCTATGTGTATTATCATATTTGGAGAATGGGTTAGAATTATCACATAAATTATTAAATAGCCTAAACAAGTGGGTGTAAGTGGAGAAGTAATTTTATAACTTTTTATAGACTTTCATTATAATTTTGTTAAGTTAACAACCTATCCTAAAAAAAACACCCACATCAATTCCACATAACAGTCAGTTGTGTGGAATTGACAACCGTTGTTAGCACTGCCCTATTTATGAATGAAATGTACACTCTAGAGGACTCAAACAATCACATTAAAAATTCTCTAAATCTTCCCTTGATTTCAATGTTTAATTAAAACACATTCCTCAAAATTTCATACTTCTGAAATCTAATTAAAGCCACTAAAAAATTAACATGCAACTAATTATAATTAATAAATCCCAGAGCCATTTCTGCCATCAAGAATCCTCACAAGTAGACAAGTAGTGGTAGATAATAATAATAATACATAGTAATAATAATAAGAATAAAAGCTAGACATCTTTATATATTTAAAAATTACTACTATATAAATCAAACTTACTTGCAATGACCAGGGAAACCTTCTAGGATCATTATACGATTTTAGAACAATTTCTAAGCAGCAAGTAAACAGAGTTCGATGAAATAAATCTTCTTTCAAAATTGCCTGCAAAGAAAAAATGTATGACTAAGGTTATACTGCTGATGGAAGAGGAGGTATGGTATAAAAGACATTATCTGCAGCTGGCATAATTTGGATAAGGATAAAAATAAAACAGTACATTATTCATAACAAAAATTACAGCTTTGAAGTTATCACAAAAGTTATACATCCGGAATAATTTATGAACACAGGTCTAATGATTTAGACATTACTTACCCCTTCATACTTACCTTGACCCAGTCACAAATGGCCCTTTTATTAGTGCATTAGAAATCATATGTATGATTTTAATTAAAATACTTTATTCACATAGCTAAAAAGCAGGCATCTCCTATGGCATTATGGAAGCTTCTCCTTTCATGCTCTTCACTGGTACAGCCAGTGAAAGGGTTAGTGATATCTGGCACTCTAGGATTGGTTGAAATATCAGATAGCAGTGTTATCTTATTAAAACAATGGTATACTATCACAGGTTCCTACTGATAGAAGTGAGCCACTGGGAGCTCACTCTGCTCTTAATGGAGATTGGCAACAACCTCTCATACTGCACCTTGTCTTACATCCTATCATCCCTGGACCTTCAAATGATCCAACATTGGAGAGACCACCTTGGCAACAACAAGGAGACAAGAACAAAAGCCCCTCTGGACTTTATTTGCCAATCAAGCTGAGAATCAAAAATTCCCTAGGCAGCAGGTACCTAGAACACCTGCTAGGACCCCCAATTGCTGCATAGAACACCGGGTAACGAGACAAAAGTTTGCACTTGATGCTGTCCACTGCACTGTCATCCAATAAACAGCCTAGGAACAAAACTCCAACCACTGCCTTCAAGGAAAAAGCCCATGTCAGTACTGAAATTAAATGGTAAAGTCCAAATTTCAAACTAACAAAAAAAAAAGTACTGTGCCACATTAACTCAGTTATGTCTGGAGTGATGAATCTTCCTCTCCCTGGTTGAGATTCCCACATGTCCATTGTAAGAATCTGACGAGTGTCACTCAGTAAGTAGTGCATGCCCTTTATTTTGCATTCATATATTTGTATTCTTCATATCATTATCAATGCCTGGTATTTATTCCACACTATGCATTTTCATCTTTCTTTCTCCATTATTCAATTATGTTACAAATTAATGATTTGTTAAGTAATTATTTTTTGCCAATTCAAGTGCTGGCCAGAATGAATGTGCATGATTATGTTAATTCATAATATTTGTTTTAAAAAATACAAATTTGTTTACTAACTGAAGAAATTTTACCAGTTTAGAAAATACAAAATATGCATCCTCTCTAGTGATCAGTGATGGGCTGGATTCAAGCAATGCAAGTCCCGCACAATATTGTTTTATACCATATTAACTGGGGAAAATGTAAATGCTGGTTGCAACAACAAAGCGAGTCACACGGCCCTTCACTTTCTAGTGTGGTCTGGTCAACATATTTCAGCCACGTTACTGTGACTCCTCATCTGCACACTACTGAATTTCCCAACAGGCAAGTGAGATCATAATAATGAGGCATTTTTTGTGTTTCCCTATGTCAGTGCAGCACTGGAGTTATACGAGAATTACAAAAAGATATGAAATTAATGGGTTGCCACACACAAACCAGACACCAGCGTGACTATTATTCTTGTAAGAGATATTGTGCTGAACATGATTATGTTATTGCCAAGATCTTGGGTAAACATTTTAACACTTTCGCGCTCTCGGCGCTCAAAAAAAATCAATACCCCAGATGCTTTCGGCACTTCGCGCGCCTACGCGCTAAGACCGAAAAAGTGTACACTCTTTTGACTGTCCTGACAATAATTGAAGGCGCACGTATTTAAATTTGGTATCACTGTGTTCGCAATGAAATTGTCTATAAGAGCATACCTATAAAATGCCGCCCAAGCATAAGGAGTATCAACACCAAATAAAAAACTATGCAGAACACTTGCCGAGAGCGCCAAACAGCAACAAAATGTTTCCACTCTCTTAATGGTTGGGAAGCCTACAGTTGTCCTACATCGCTAATTTTGGTATCATTGGAATCGCAATAAAATTCTCTACACGGACATATGCATATGAATGTTTAATATAGGTAATTGCCCACCCGCAAGAGTGTGTGAAGTGGAGAGTAGTTAGCCGCGAGCGCACTGGCGAAAACACGGGGGGGAAATCATGCTTGGAAAGTTTATACATTTATACGTTTCCTGACCCTACTTTTCTATGTACGTATTTCTTTTTTATACCAATGTGTTCGCAATAAAATTTTCTATAAGATGAAATGTATAACATTTGTACAAAGCATGTGTAAGAGAAGCGCCAAATATAGAACCACGTCGCTCAGTATGCGTTCCCGGCAGAAACGAACGCATTGTTTTCGTTCGTTTGATGTTTGTCATGTTTATACTTGTTGAAACATTTTATAATTTGTATGACAGTGATCACAGTAAAATTCCCTACACAGACATATACATAACACATACAAATATTTCCCACGTGTTGGACATATCAACGGCTAAAGGGAACCCACTGCCACACGGCCGCCACACCCAGAGCCACACCCGCCACACCCCCAAACATACTTTGTGTTTTTTTTTTTTACTCATAGAAGTTTATGTGATATAATATTCATTCTGGTACCAAAAAATTCACAAATAAATTCTCTACAAGATATATAATATAACTTCTTATAGATGATAAAAAATTCCAAATAGGTGTACTTACCCTGTCTATGTTGGTTGAAGATCAACAGTTGAGCATTTTTTCTTCACTCCACCATCTTCAGGCTTTTGATCCTGAAGTTGCTCATCTGATGTTTCTTAGGTGGAGTGAAGCTGTTGCCGGTGGTTATTTTTTCTCCACCCAAAATATCTTTCTTCGGTGGTACCTTGTGTAGCAAGGCGCAGCGCACAGTGCCACATCACAAGTTTTACATCCATATATCACGTCCCTCCTTTTGCCAGACTTGAAACAAACACGGCATCTTCTTTTTTTAGCCAAGTGCACGAGTTCATGCGTCAACTTGTAGTTGAGACGTTGTTCTGAATCTATAATTCTTCTATTTCATGGATGCACTGGAGGAATATTGTCTTCTACAGGAACCACCAAACTTGTAGTAGAATCTTCTATGAAATCAGAAACATCAAGTGGTTCTATGTCCTCAATGTCCATTTCAGAATTTGTGGTTGATGAGTGGGCTTGAGGTGTTGAGGTGAACAGAGGACGCCTCGCACCAGATGTGCCGGGTGTTGAAACTGCCGCGTCAGCAGGAGGAGCTGCGCTGGCATCTATGTCGGGAACATGTGGTATGCTTGTTGTTGTTGGCCATTCCTCGCCATGTGTTCAGTGAGGGAGAACGGGAATTTCACGGAGAAAAATCTGAGAGTATCCCCATCCATTTCGGTTAAAAAATGGAATTTATATTAATATTTTTTCGATGGACGAGAAAAGTAGGCTGTTATGCGGAATCGTAAGAGAAAACGGCGACGAGTTATCTCTAATATAAAGCGCGAAAGTGTTAAGATATTTCAATCTATGTGATGAGGAAATGTCCATCATGGCAGCTGACTGAATGATATTTTATCAGGAGAGACATGACACATTTAGTAGTACAGTGTTTATATTATATCAAGGAACACTATTACAATGAAAGAAGTAACAGTGTAATTGTCACTTGCCATATAATTACACACAGAAATCACAATAGCGTGATGCATCAATGAACAAATCCACACAGGCCGTGACGAGGATTCGAACCTACGTCAGAGATCATCCCAGACACTGCCTTAATCGACTGAACTACGACATAGTCAAAAAGAGTTGAAACCAGAAGGTCTACTGAACTTGATTGGATCCTGCAGCCTATCCAGTAAAATCCTGGTTTGTGTCTCGGAGAGGATGCAGGATCCAAGTAAGTTCAATAGAACTCCTGGTTTCAACTCTTGACCATGTCGTAGCTCAGTTGATTAAGGCAGCGTCTGGGATGATCTCTGACGTAGGTTCGAATCCTCGTCATGGCCCTTGTGGATTTGCCATATAATGAAACAAACCACCCAGTTATACACTGTAATAATATAACTACAGTACTTTAGGTGGCCCTAAGTTACCAAGGAATCACTAGTGGAGCAACAGAACTGAGTGCCTCCTCATCCCAGTCATGCCTGGATACACTTACATTTCAGTGGCACTTCATGAAGTGTGGAAAAGGAGAAATTGAGAAAACTTTCAATACTTCTTATTTATATGTATTTCTATCTTATTTTTTTCTATTATACTTTGTTAATGTCTATATGCTTCCCAAGGGCTATCATCAGTTTTTCAACACATTTTCCAATGCAAGTTAATGGTGATTGCTTCATTTCCTCTTACTAAAACTAGTGTAAAATATTTTACTTGAATGAGCTAAAACTAACAGTGTCTTTAAATACTTGTAGGCATACAAAATGTTTACAGAAGATTTATGTGGCAACCCCCTAAACAATGTAGAGGTCTCAGAAACAAAAGGCAATATAGCTAATTCTTAACACAAAAAAACATGTTTAGACATCAGGAAAAACAAAAAAGGCTGCAACAAAGGCAACAATTACAATTTTAATAAAGTCTACAAAATGTTACAAAATGTTAAGTCAACAATATAATTTATCATTAACACCAGGTCACAATATATATAATTTGCATCCAATACTAATAATGAAGGACTATTAATCGGTCAATAACATCAATCTCTCGACACCGATCTTGACACTGTCATTCGGGAGGGACGTATACAACGTCCGTAATTAACTCGGCGGATGCACGGGAGGGAAGTATGCAACATCCGTAATTAACTGCGGATGCTCAGGAGGGACTTCTACGACGTCCGATTTTAATATATTTGTTAAAATTACATGTTTTATCCGATCATTTTGGGACGTGTTTTAACCACTGCACTGCACCAAACGACAAATGCTGTACGCCCATTACAGCGCCAGCGACAAAAGTATTTTTTATCTTTTTGAACACGGTTGAAACGCACTTGTGGTAGATTGGGTACGAAAAAGACTTGTAACCTCCAGTGAGAGGCAGCCATCTTGAAAAAAATTCCCAGAATGTCCTAGGGCCACTGGCTGGGTTAGTACTAAGTGAGCAACCATGGGTGGCCACGTGCCTCCGACTCCCAAACACCTGTCCGACACGGTGTTGAAAGATCGCTCTCTGTTGGTGAAATTCAGACCTTATTGTTTGAAGAACATAAGGGTCATGATATTGATGAAACTATGCAAAATAAGGGCCTAACACAAAGGCTGGATGCAAGTGATACAGCACCTATGAGGACGATACAGCGAGCATATCCACTTTAGCTCTGAGCACCACCCTTGCCTACCTATGCCATCTCCAATTTATATAGCTGATGCATAGAAAAATCATTTTCTGGGTTCAGTGATGATGCATATGATACAAGTAGCATAAATGAACAGTCTTAGTGGCTTCAATAGGGGTGTTTTCCATAGATATTTTCAGACAGCTGAATCTCTTCCAGATTGACTGACACTCTTGAGAATGACAATCTCTTCCAGTCAGGGACTTTACAAAGCGATCTTTTCAAGACTACCTTACGCTTTACAAGCTTGGCCACATACCACCTACAAGTATTAAAGCCAAGGGTGTACGCGAGTGTGTTATTTGCAAGCACACAGAACTAAGAAACGGGAAGCAAAAATCTATCTGTACCTGGTGCAAAGAAAGCAAAGTCGCGCTGTGTACCATGGACTACTTTGTTGATTATTACTCACTTACGAAGTACAGTACTGACTGTGATACAGTGTGTTACTGTGTAAATTGTGTGAAACTGTACATATTGTAATTTTAGTGAATTTTTAACAAGTAATATTATGGCATTTTTATTGTGGACACATTACTGACATGTATCACAGTTCCATGGAACATTATGAACGTTCTATTGTATACATGCTGTAAAGGACACAAATATGCATCATATACGATAAAAAACAAAACTGCATTGGAAATACATAGAACAAATAATTGAAAATATATTTGTTTCTCACTGTGCTTGAATGGCCCGCGTGATCACCTCTGAGAGCTTCACACACGGGCGACCACCCCGTGATAACGTCACAGCGCACCTTGTCCACGTCCCCACAGGCAAAGTGGAATTTGGTATTTATTTTTACATAGACATGTTCAGGGAAGGGAATTTATCATTTTACAAACAAAAAAGAATTTTTGGGGAACACTTGATTTCATGCACACAGGGGGAATGTCACAATAAACTTGGTGCATCACAGTGGTTAAAGTTTGCGCCAATGTCTTCCCATTTTGTTAGGGGGCCATGTAGCATCAAGGTTTGCCAAAAATACAGGGCTGTGAAACTAACACCAACAAAAAATACAGGCTATAGTAGGCAATTTTTTTTATTTTAAATTTGAAAGTGACAAAAGTGACTGATGTAGATCATGAGTTTGTTGAAACTGAAACAGCAGGTAATTATGAACTTGAAAGTGAGGAGTGTGCCGATTTTGAGCCACCTATCGCCACAGGCACATATGAACGCACCGCATGTAGGAAACAAACGTTCTGGTGAAGCCTGGTCAACTGACAACACTCCATTTGTAGACAGTTTTACTGGAACACCAAGCTTGACTGTACCAGTACCAATCACTCCTCTGGGATTTTTACAGTTATTTATTACTCCTGGACCATCAGGTGTGAGGTGGCCACTATTCCCATCTTCACCGCAACATGACAATTCATCATCTGACTCAGAAGACGAGAGTCAGATTATTCCTTCTGGTGCTACTGCTAGGAGAAACCCTCATATTGTTGATAAACCAGAATGTCTGATCAACAAACTGAACCATTCCCTATTTTGCATCCAGAAAGGGCTGAAATGCCGTGTTTGCTTCAGAAATGGTAAAAGGAAGAACACCAAATATAAGTGCAAGTCGTGTGATGTGGCACTGTGTGCTGCACCATGCTCCGGCTTGTACCATCGCAAGAAGAAGTACTGGGCAGATAAACAGTAATTCTTACCCACCATTTTCCATATTGAAATTGATATCATATTGAATGACATAGGATGAGAATTGAGGTGAGAATCCCACAAAGAGTACACACATTTAGGTAGTATTGCGCAGTCATGGGTAACCCTCAGTCGATTTGAGAGTTTGGTGCGGGTGGCATGCCGGGCTTTTGGACTTCACATGTAGGGAAATTCCCTACAGGGAAATCCCTGTAGGGAATTCTATTGCGAACAAAAAAGATACCAAAATTAACGCCAGTAAGATGAAAATTGAGGCGAGAAAACGTAAAAGAGTATACATATTTGAGTTTGGCTGTGCGCTCACTCCCATTGCTCGGCGCACTTTGAGGTAGTCTAGGGAGCATGCGGTGGGGACAGGAAAGTGTTAAGACAAGCCAATCTTAATGTGGGCCTAAAATATTTATTAATTTTTTAAATTAATAGATCTACACTTCACTTGATCCTGACCATTCAAGATTTTTATGATACACTATGTAATGTTAAATTGAAAGATTGCATTCACATTATGGGACTTCACCAGTGCAGCTACTGGCAACTAGTGAGAGAACCAAGTAGCTAAAATATACCTTATATAATATTAAAATATTAAGTAGATTCTTACCATAAGATCAATGCCTCTCCTCCTCTCATCCACCAAGATGTGTTCTAAAAAGGTGTAGTAAAGCATCTGACCCATCTGCAGCCTCATTTTTGCAAAGTCTATACTAGGACCTGTGTAGTCTTCTGTGGCTTGAGTGTATAGGCCACAGAACACATCACTTAATTCTGCAACCAATGCTGTGATCTTTTCATCCGGGTTATTCTTGAAAGTTCTGTGAAGATATTTCAAGCATTACATAATGCAACACATCAAAGTTATGGCAGCACTATATATAAGTATGGTTACTTACTCTTAATTATTAAGACGTACTATACACTAATGTATATAAATATTCCATGTCACAGTAACTTTATTAAATGAAGTGTGCAGAGAAACTATGACAACAGGCATGGATCATTGTCACATTTCCAATTTGTTGATCTACATACAGTCCTGCATTGTGTCTAATAAGGAATTTTACTTTTTCAGCGAGTTAAGCATATCGAGTACCAAGCTCGAGCTAACTGGAAAGGTAAGTACTTGCTGAAAAATGTCTTGACTGATTCAGTGTTGATAAAACATGTTAACACAATACATCAAATGGTGAGTAAAGTTTTCAAAGTACTGTCTCCACTCGATCATCCGGACTATATGGGAAGGACCCCCAGCCGGATTATCACATTTTTCGGATAATGGTACTTTTTCACCTACGAGTCCAAAAGTGACCATTTCCAACTACTGTATTTTTATACTACAAACAACATAATTTGAATTCCCTTACCACATACAATTATTAAATATTCAACTAGAAACCTCAACTTACCTTGTTGGTGTTCGTCTTCTTGATTGATGCCACACATCTTGAAGTTAAAAATTCTTAACAATTTACGTAACCTATACTAACACAACACTAAAATTAACACTTAAAATTACTGTACAGTTCATTAAGCTAAGTTAGTTTTGACTGCCAGCTGCTGAAGCCTCACTAGTTAAAGGCATTTGGGTTGCCTGTGAGGCCTCACTTGTTGAAGGCGCTTGCTTGCACCTCACTTGTTGAAGTGCTTGCATGCCCTCACTTGTTGAAGGCGCTTGGCTTGCCTGTGATGCCTCACTTGTTAAAGGCGCTTGCTTGCGCCTCACTTGTTGAAGGCGCTTGGCTTGCCTGTGGCACCTCACTTGTTGAAAGTGCTTGGCTTGCCTGTAATGCCTCACTTGTTGAAGGAGCTTGGCTTGCCTGTAATGCCTCACTTGTTGAAGGCGCTTGGCTGCCTGTGACGCCTCACTGGTTGAACAACACGTAGCTTGTCTTTAATTGCTAGGACAATCTTCTTCCTCTTAACACTTCCAGAACGATTGATGCTGCTACCAGACATATTCTTGGCCAAAAATGTTCAAAGTTACTATGAAAATTAAGAAAGTCATTTAAAAAAATATTTCACTAATGGCGCAGCACTGTGAGGCCGCACTGGTTGAGGTGTATAACAGTAACTTGTCTTTAATTGTTAGGACAACTTTCTTCCTCTTAACACCTTCAGAACGATTGATGCTGTTACCAGACATAGTCTTGGCCAAAAATGTTCAAAGTTACTATGAAAATAAAAAAGTTATGTAAAAAAATATTTCACTAATGGAGCAGCACTGTGTATAACACGAGGGACGGACGCACATGGGTTGACCAGTGTTGGACAGGTCCACTTGGGGTGGGGCAGCTATAGCACGTTACGTAGGCCGCCAGGAGGAAAAAAATTCACAATATTTCTGAAGGAAACTTCAGCCTGTGCACAATGCTTTTAGGAAGCTTATTTATTTGTTATTACTTAATTACTAGTACTTATTTCATTTGTTTTTGGCTATGATTAATTGTTCTAAAATTAATGGTAATTCCTGTACCCAGGTGGTCCCTCCTGACGCACCCCTCCCACCCTCCCAACACCACCCACCCACCCCACCCCCTCCTCCACAGTGCGTCTAGAGCCACAGACAGGATTAATACGGTATGGCCGTATTTTCATCCGGCCAAACCAGCTTTTATCCGGTTCCTGTGGCCATTTTGGCCGGATATTGTGATAACTTTATCCGATCACGATTTTGGCCGTATAAGGGCGTTTTCCGGATGTTTGAATCCCGGATAATCGCGGGGTTACAGTAATAAGAAAAAGCAGTTCATGCTTAAATTTAAGAGCAGGGGTAGGGCTCTTTTCTTTAGAAGCAAACCAACATTATCTCGCACTCTTAAAGTACCGAGTGTGCAATATGTTTATATGTATTATACTGCAAACTGTATCTAAAATGAAAATTAAACAAGTAATATTGTGATAATCATTTTTAGTAGACACATTAGCAACATGTGTATCACAGTTCCTTGGAACATTATGAATGTTCTACTCTGTAAATATTGTAAATATAACCCATGTGCATAATCCAAAATTAAAAAAAAAAGTCAAGCAATAGAAATGTACTAAAAAAAATTAACAAATATATTTGTGGCAACTTGTGGGTGTTGAGCCTCCGGCATCACCAGCTCCGGGAGCCCCCGGCATCACCAGCTCCGGGAGCCTCTGGCATCACCAGCTCCGGGAGCCTCTGGCATCACCAGCTCCGGGAGCCCCCGGCATCACCAGTTCCCGGAGTCTCCAGAGACTGGCAAGAGAGACCATTAAACTATCACACATTTTCTCCACTTCACTGCAGCTAAAGTACTTTTTTTTTTATTGTGTTCAGGGAAGAGATTGTAGCAATATAAAATTAAAAATTTGGTGGGAATATTTTTCTTTATACACTTGGGGAACTTGTCATATTAAACTAACACGTAGTACACAACTTAGAATTTATCAGTTTTTAAAGTTGTGGATGGAATTGGCTTCGACAACCTCTTCCTCTAATGTACAGTATTCTACTTGACCACCCATGCAAGGAATGGCAATTTCCTTACATCTACAACTATTGTATATCCAGTTTCTACTAAATTCTCTTTTTGCAGGCGAGGAGTCACAATAACGTGGCTGAAATATGTTGACCAAACCACACACTGGAAACTGAAGGGACGACGACATTTCGGTCCGCCCTGAATCATTCTCAAGTCAATTGTGATGAGGGAAGGAGGCGAAGGTAACAAATAGGCAAGAGAGAGGCGAGAAGAAAATCTTAAGAGGAAGATTTTCTTCATTTTCTAGTGTGTGATTTGGTCAACAATTTCCCTTTTTGTTAAATCTTTACAATTTAAATATCCTTCCTTTATCCATTGTGTATTCCCCTCATGATTTTATACATATCATATGCCCCCTGTTTCTTCTGTCCTCTAAGGTTGAGAGAGCATCTTCTCTCAACTTGTCTTCATAGCTCGGGCCTCTCAATTTTGATATTAATCTGGTTGAAAACCTCTGCGCTTTCTCAAGTAGTAGGTTCCATGTTGGCCTGAGGCCAGGCTTGGAGAGTAGAAGAATTCTCAAAACCCTCTTCAGGTATGCTCCAGGTAAGCTGCATACTCAAGTAATTGAGTATGCAGCTTACCTATACATGTTGCATAGGCAACATGTATGAATTTGAAAGCCTCCTTGTCCTTCAATGACACTCTAGTGTTAACTTCCAATATGCTGATATGAGCTTGTTCACACGAGCTTCTGGTGTTAATGTTGGGACTGTCTAATCCTAAATCATCTTCTCTTATGGTTTCTGGCAATTGCCTCCCCTTATGGTACAATTAAATACGGCGGAACCTCAGTTCTTGTATACCCGTTCTCGTATTTTTCGGTACTTGTACTCAATTTCACCGAAAAAATTTAATTCAGTACTCGTTGTTTGCCTCGGTTTTCGGAGTTTGTTCATACATGTACGAGTTCACCGCGAGCGTGGAGTTTCAGTTTACCAGTCTCCCGCCTAGTGATGATCGCACTTGAATTCTTTGCGAAGAATTTTGTTGTTTTGTGCTTTTTTGGTTTCTGAACATAAGTTATTATATATCATGCCATGGGTTCCAAGAAAGTCAGTGGTAATATTCAACCTAAGAAAATAGTTGAGGATGACGATAGACGAAAAACAAGAGATCATTCATAGTGAGAATGTGATGTCTCACTACACAGAAGTGTTGAAACAGGGAAAACAAGTGTCTATAGATAAATTCTTAGTAACACAAGCAAGCAGTGAGCGACAACCAGGTCCTAGTGGTTTGCCTGCAAAATTTAACAGAGCGAGTACCCCAGAAATGTCGTCACTGCTGTTATAATGAAAGGGGATTCCCCTTCCAAACACTAACCCCTCTCCTCCTCCCCCTTTCCTCGCTGCCTTCCATATGCCAACACGAGTCTAATAAAAGTAAGGTACCTAAGAGTATTATTCTGTATAAAATGTATTTTTAAGTTAATATATTTTGGGGGGGGGGGTGGAACGGATTAATTAAATTTACATTATTTCTTATAAGAAAATTTGTTTCGGTTTTCGTATCACTTTTGGGAACGGATTAACTACGAAAATTGAGGTACCCCCTGTACAGGTCTCCTATCTCCTTTATCCATCATCTCATCTGTTGACTTTCCTTCCAATTTAGTCTCCCATTGAACCTCCTGCAGATAATCCTCGACCCTCATGTAGTACCTTCTGTATTTTCCCTTGCTCATTTTCCTGTTTCCAACTTTTTTCAAACATAATAATTATTTAGTCACTGGATCCTAGTGGTGATTCATTTTAAGTCATCATTTTGAATAAGCACCATATCTATGGTAGCTACTAGGTTATCTTTTCTTTCTCTTGTCAGCTTGATATGCTGCCACAGGAATTTTGTTCCTGTAGTGTCCACAAATTTTGCTGCCCATGTTTTATCTCCACTGTGAGGATCCTCTGTTAACAAATCTATTTCCCTTTGGTTAAAATCTCCAAGTATTGGGATCTCTGCTCTAGCTCTCCTTGCCATTGTGGCTGCCTTTTATCTTCAAGCGTGTTTTATTTTCCTTTTTTCACATTCCTCTTCCCTTGAACTTCCTGTAGTTACTGGAGGAGATCTTCATGGTCCTCACCGTTATCATACGTAGCATGAAATCCTGCTGGTTGATTGCCTCCAGATTCTCTTTCCTGCACGCTCCAATGTTGTTGTATCAGTAGGGCTACTCTTACCCCCGTTTATCCTCTCTTTTCGTATTTCCAGGTATATTCCTGGGAATATTGCATCCTATTACATCTGTCAGTTTTGTCTCCATAACTGATATGAGGATGTGGTTCTGCTACCTACTCTTTCAACTGCACTTTTAATTTGTAATGCTGTCTGCATTTGTGTACCAAATTTTTATACTACCCATTTCTACTTGGTTGTTTAGATACTCCCTATAAGCTAGTACCATTCTGGAGGGTGGTATTTGTTGAGTGTTAGTCTGGGAACACTCATCCCTTCTGGTCTCTTTCCTCATCAATGCAGTTAGGCCCACTTTTCTTGTGATGTCATAACTTTCCTCCTGGCCAGGTCTTGCTTCTCCCTCATGGGACAAACCTAACAGCCGAGCCCGACACCCGAGGCCGTGAGCCGAGCCCGACACCCGAGGCCGTAAGGCGAGCCCGACAGCAGAGGCCGTAAGGCGAGCCCGACAGCAGAGGCCGTAAGGCGAGCCCGACAGCAGAGGCCGTAAGGTGAGCCCGACAGCAGAGGCCGTAAGGCGAGCCCGACAGCAGAGGCCGTAAGGCGAGCCCGACAGCAGAGGCCGTAAGGCGAGCCCGACAGCAGAGGCCGTAAGGCGAGCCCGACAGCAGAGGCCGTAAGGCGAGCCCGACAGCAGAGGCCGGTCTTCTGGTCTTCTTTTTCATTGTTGCACTGTCTGTTGAACTGTGGGTTTGCCATTTTCTACTCATCCACACACTACAAGAGACGAACTGATCCAGACCCTCCTGCACTTCCTTTATTTGTATAATCATGCACTTTTCAACCCATTTCTTCACCCAACAATCTTCAAGCTCTACTATCTAATCACTCACAATAATGCAGTAGTCATTGACTCTGTGCCTAAGTAAAATCTTTATATCCTTCCTAGTGATTACATGACAAAACAAAAGATAGTACATCTCTCTTCCTTACTCTTGTGGCCTGCTTTAATATGCTGAAACATAAATGCCTCCAGGATGAGATTCACAAATTTACCAGTTCAAATACCTCATTCTTGCCCCCCCCCCCTAATCTTTTATTTCATATTAAAGTCACCTAGTTCCAACAATATTTTAACCTGTTTTATTAGGGGTATTTCTCATGACAGTAATAAATCTCTCATTTGTATGTGTAACTATGTTTTGTGTTTCCTTTGAACAAGTTAACATGGAAATACCCTGTTTGCTTTTGCAAATGGTTGAGTGATAGAACTTGCCAGTAGTTCTGCAACAATTGCATTTTTGCAATACTTTAATGAATGTTTTACATACCTGAATATTTCAAGAAGTTCTTCACTGGCACTATTTTTTCGACCTGCTAAAAGAGCATATAGTTTATGCAGGCCTGAGGTGACCACTGTTAGTGGGTTGTTGCCAATAGTTGGACGATCTATAGTGTAGCGACGACCAGTGATTGGCGTTTGTGGCACTAAATGATGATCACCATCAAATGACTGCAATAAAATATTACTTTATTAGTCTTGAAAAATTTTAATCTATTGACTTCCTTTCCTAAACATATAACATTTAAATGGTTAGTATATGAAAGATGATTTATTAATTTTAATTCTTAGACCATTTCACAGTAAATAAACCATCACCCAACTTCCATCTTTCAGGAAAGTACTCAGCCAGCAAGATGGGAAGACTATAAAAAGAAAGGAAAGATGAAAAATAATGTATTAAAAGTGATACTTTTCCACTCTTATCTTCTACACTCAATAGCAAAACAGTACTAGAAACAAGGTTTGCAATCTTGTCAGACAACCACAGCAATATATTAGTTGTTTTATAAATCCACTGTAAAGAGCTGCAAGGCAATAAACAAAATGTTAAGCCAGCTAGGAAACCACTTTTACCCAGCCCTGTACATAACACCTTTCTGCACATCTTGGCTTAAACCTTTCATTGTGATATGAGAATCAATTATGAAAATGAATACTGTACAATTAACTGCAATATGCAAGTTTACCCATATATATTGAAGTAAGTGAAAAATCTCAAAGGATTGACCAAACATCAAGCCTCTGAAACAGGAATTTAGGCGGGGAGCTGTAGCAGTTTATCAGTGAAAGAGGAAATCACAACCTGATGTGGTAGATCTAAGTCCATCTGAAATAATTAATTCCTATTCCAAATTCGATCATTTTTTTTTTACACACAGGTAAAAGAGAAAAGCACTTGTGACTTGTTAGCAAGATTAGAGCTTTCCTTTCCAGCAGCTCATCTTAACACTTTCGTGGCCGCTGGAGTTATACTGGGAGTGATCTGGAAGTGCGCCGTTCGTTTCGGGCGACCGCGCGGCGACACTAAAATGTTTATAATCTTTTCGGTCTGCTCACCTTAATATTCCATGTATGTATTTAAATTTGGTATCAATTTGTTCGCAAGAGAATGCTCTAGAGGAATATATATGTAAAATGTCACCAAACCCGACATGAGACCTGCACCAAATAATAAACTATGGCAATCGTTAGCCGTGAGCGTCAAACCGCGCTGAAATGTTTATGATCTTTTCATGTTTATCAATCCCAGAATTATGCTACGTCGTTAATTTTGGTATCACTGTGACCGCAATAAAATTCCCTTCACGGATATATGCATATAAATGTAGAATCATGATTGCGGCCCACCCGCAAGAGTGTGGGAAGTGGCTGAAGTGTTACCTTTTAAGGCACACCCAACGGCAGATGGGCGAAACACCTTTTGAAAAGTGTACATTCTTTTCACTGTCCTGACCTTAATTTTCGATGTACATACTTAAATTTTGTACCAATATGTTCGCAATAGAATGTTCTAGAAGAACATGTGTAAAATGTCACACAAGGATGTGTTTGACCGGCACCAAATAAAGAAACTTCGTCGATTACACTCGTCGGGTCAACATTTTACAATAGTTTTACCACGAAGATACAAGCGAACTCCATTCTCCCAAATAGGCTGTGTGACTATTAGAGAAAACGAAAATTTAATGGCAAACATGCTGAAATTATCCCCAAGTCGATCGGATAAGAATTGGATTTTATAGAAATATTTTTTTCAATGCACCTCTTGAGGTGCATTCAAGGGAAAAATATGTGTCCTGCTCAAGTGACATATGGGTGCTAAATTGTGCGCAATCTAAAGGCGCTCATTTTAAAACCGCTACCAGATTGATCTGATAAAATTTAAATTTTTAACAAATATTTTAATGAGTGACTCAGTGCCGCGTCATCGGTGAGGAATCGGGAGAACAATGAGTGACAAGAGGTTCAGTCATTGGAACGCGAAAGTGTTAAGTCTTACGCAATAAGATTTCTCTGGAATGTCAAACACCAATCAGAAGACGACGATACAGGTGAATATAGACAAAAGTAATGGTGATGAAGAGAACATATTTGAAGATGGGTAAACTGAGGAGTCTCATAAGTAGTCGTAAATTTACATCTTAGATCTGTAATTGACAAAAAGAAATGATAAAGTTGAGGTTGAGGTCAGGCAAGGGAAGTAGTTATTGCAATGAAAGTTTTGCTGAGAAAGAACAAGACAGGAAGAGACGCTGCTAGAGAGCAGCACGAAGGTATCTTGGCTCCTTAGCAAGTATAAACTGTCGTCTCAATGACCCTTTTATCTCTAACCTTTTCCTATACATTATTACTCAGATTTCTAGACTAATCTCTTCCCATTCCTTAAAAATTTTTAAATGGGAATAATAACTAATATTAAGAAAGAATAAGTAATAAACAATAATAATAATAATTGGTGATCATACCCAATCATGCTAAGGTCCAACAATCAAAATCATTGACTTCCCCTCATATCTATCCTCCCCCCCCCCCTCTTACACATTCCCTGCTTCACATGTGCAACTTGCCAGTCTTCACACTCAATATCTGTTTAACTCACAAGTCTACCTTGCACGTGTGTTATCCAGCAGCTCATTACAGATATCCAGTTCACACACCTCACCAAAACATGCCCCTTCTCCATTACCTATCAGCTATTTTTTTTTAGGTATTTCCATCAATATATTAGAATTATCCACTCTTGGGAGAAGTCTCTCTGCAGGTGACTGTTCACCCCTCACCAATTGTAGCAGTGAAGAATATCAATCTTCCATAGTGCTGTTCTGTAACACCTTCTGGCAAAGCCTTCAAATCCATTACAAAGCATTACTGTCTACTACTCTACTTCAACTATATCTGCTGTTCAACCACATTTACTTCTGCAATAATGACTACTACTTCCCATAACACATCACCTGCTCATCTTAAATACTATTCCCATACACCTTCCACTAGTGTCCACATTCCACTTTGATACTTTCTTTTTAAATACAACAAATACATTCTAATTTAGCTTTGTTGCATATTCCATGTTTACTGCTGTACTAGCCTTTTCACATACCTTTTACTCTCAATGTACTCCATTTTCTTGCATTTCTTTCCCCTCCTCATTTTGTAACCACAGAAGTGTCTATTCGTTTGTTATCAACTGCTCATTCCATTTCCTCATCCCATAAAGCACTTCTCTCTCAATCTTCAACCAGTTGCACACCACCACACACACCTGCTCAGCTTTCTCCCCAAATATAATTTGACTAAATTAAACCTATAAATTTACGTATTTTACACCTAATGCCTAAAAGTTATTGCTTTCAAACAATGATTGTGAACTTTAAATAAACACTAACACAACAAATTAGTAAATTCTGTCAGATATGTAAAATGTGCATTATGTACTTTTGCTTTAGTTTACAAAGTGCTTTGTATGTATTATAAATGAAATATTAAAGAATCTAGAACAAATCAGAAAGACAAACCGGCACTAAGTTTCTTCTAGCTTGTCTCATTGACCCAGCATCCAAGGGAGAGTCGTGATGCACTGTGTGAGTTGATGGTGGAGACGACCCAGTCACCCCCTTCACCACCTCGTCTTCGTTCAAGAACATTCTCTCGTCAAACTCGCCAAAACTCAACAAGTGTTCTTCATAGGCATTTTTTACTTCTTTTACATTATGATCAAAATTGGTTTGTTCCAGAAGACCAGTGCCTTCTACACCACCTTTCAGTACCTGGCAACAAGAGATTTAGTAATTATTAATAATGATTAACTCAATGGCAACAGATACAAGCACCAAAACAAAAAAAAAACAGCGTTGAATATAATGAAATGCCATTTTCTGGGTGAGACCCGGAGCCTTCCCGGAGCTATCCAGGCTGATATGCTAATGTCAGACTTTGGCATTAGTCATGTGTATGGAGTTCTGTGGGCCTACTGGGGGCCAGAACCTGGCCCCCTCAGAAGCATGGGGAGCAATTGTCAATAGAAACCCCCCGTGTGGTTGGAAGCATTCTATGTCTGCCATCGACCAGGTCAGGCACCCAGAAAGGTAAGTGTCCCAAAACAAACCCCTATTCTAGTGAAAATTGCTACAAAAAGCTGAACAAGTGGATAGAAATCCCCTATAATAAACGAGCAAACGGGCATGACGTCACACGTCGCCGCGCCGCTGTCTGCGCAGCACCCCCCTCCCTGGGAGGGGAACCCCAGACCCCCGCACCGGCCATCCACCCTTCAGTTCTGAGGCTGGACATCAAAACATGCGAAAAACCGCCAACAGGGGGAGGAAGGGGGGTTTCAGGGAGCCCCCGGGTCTCACCCAGAAAATGGCGTATCATTACATTCAACACTGGTTTTCTAGGGAGAGCCCAGAACCCAAAATGAGGATGCTGGATCCCAGGCGCTAACTACCCACAGAGGACAAGTAGAGGGATTTACCCAGGAGGCGGTCACCACTCACTCCTCAACCCGAAGTCGAGACAACTGGCTGCAACCACTGACCCAAAGCGACACAGGCCCAACTAGGCCCAGGAACGTTCACGAGGTAGCGCACAGCCAAGACCCTGTTCAATTGCCAAAAACCCCACGCCCGAATGTCGACCCAGGACATGTTGCCAAAGACGGCAGCAAGAGCAGCGAACTTACGAACGTCATGGGCACAGGATAGACCGCAGGCTGGCTAGCCTTATTAACCTTGCGGATGACCTGGGAGACCCACATCCGCAAACAGGGAAGAGGGGAAACTGGATCAACCCAAAGCGCATTGCCGGACACAGACGCCGTGGCGCGCAAATAATTGCGGAGGGCTGCAACCGGACACAAAACATGATGCACCCCCCGCCTGACCAACCAAGCACCCTTCTGGAAAGCAGCCATCTCATTCTTCACCAAAAAAAAAAAAAAAAAAAGGAGACTGCTGCAGACGAACAAACCGATCGCCACGACCGAAAGAGCAGAAACCCCTGCGTCGGAGGAGAGCATGAAGTTACCCGACCCCCAGAGGCTAATGCCAACAGGTAAAGAGCCTTCGAGAAACAATGCTGAACCGAAGGGGCAACAAACCGAGGAGGAGAGAGAAAGAGAGCACTCTGTCCAATGACCAGGACGGTTCAAGCGGCGCATGAGCAGGCCGGAGGTGAAACAACGCACGAGACAGCTTGCGAAATGGCGCAGAAGTGACATCAATACCGAAAGCAAGCTGAAGTGGCTCCGTCAGTGCCACACGATACGAGGCGACCATAATCATAAGATTATTGTCCTGGAACAACCGTTGGTTGAACAACCAACCTGGAAGAACCGAGAGACAAAGGACAACACCACTCGAACAGAATGCTTAGCACAACGACGAAGAGTAAAAAAAAAAACGGAAAGACTGCCAGGAAACTTCATACTGCTGCCGAGACAAAGCCCGCAGGTGGGACACTAACAAGAAAGCCACCTGATCACCATAGAGATGATGATAAACTCGACAAAAAAATACCATGCGCAAAGACTCGAGGAGAAGATTGAACCAGCCACATGACTCTCCAGTCCGATCTGCTGGAAGAGGAGGAGCCGCGGGAAAACCTCCGGGTTCGGACACCGAGCAAGCAGTGCCTAAAACACGGCTGGGCCGGCCACCACGGCCAAGATCGTTAATCCGCGGGCGATCCGAACCCTCCGAAGAGCAAACCACACTGCCACTAACTCCTGCACCGTGCTGTGGGCCCGACGGAAGGACGAACCCCACCGTCCATGGCCAGCCTGGTGAGCACTGGTCACAAAGCCCCAGCCGAGGGACGACGCGTCCCTCAGGCTGGGATGGGCAGACACCAAGGCACTGAACCCCGAAAAACCCGAAGAGGAAGTTGGCATCGCAGCAGCCAACACAAGGCTCCCGGGGGCCGAACCCAGCGATCGCGTGAGGTGGAAAGGACTTCCCCAAAGGAATCAGAATAGCCAACGAAGCCAAACCCGACCCGGCAGGTAGACCATCGCGAAATTCACGATGATGGCTCCCGCACAGACCCTCGAGCAACCGCCGAGTAACCCGGGAGCCCTCCAGAAACAGGCCCATGCAGGACCACAGCCGTAGGAGAGACTCCGGAGGAAGAGACAAGGAAGCAGTCTGAGAGTCCCACACATGACCCAGCCAGGTCCGGACCTGAGAGGGAACCAGATAGTACTTCCTCCAGTTCACCAGGAACCCAACTCGGCGAGCTGGGAAAGAACCAAATCCCTGGCGAGCAGACACGCATACTGGCTGGGAGCCCACACCAGCCAGTCGTCGAGGTAGGCTAGGAGTCGAACCTCTAGAAGACACAGACAGGCCACCACAACCCAGGTAAGGTGTGTAAACTTGTGAGGCAACAGGTTCAAGCGAATGGAATGGAATGAAAACGGAAACCCGACCCCTCACAACAAAACAGAGCCTGTCCCTGAACCCCAGACGAATTGGAACATGCCAATACGCATCCCGGAGGTCCAAGGACACCATCCAAGAGCCCGGCTCCAAAAGAAGCCGGACCTGGGACACAGTAGTCATCCGAAAAGAGGGGGCAAAAGAGCCGGGGTTTCCGACGAGACAAGTCCAGAATGAATCGCAGGTCCGCACAGTCCCGTTTCGGGACCAGGAACAGATGGAAAATCCAGAGGGACCACATCGTTTCGACCACGCCCAAGCGCATGAGATGACTCTACAGAGCACAGGAGAAGAGGCCTACCCCGCCAGCCCCGAACCCTATAAAGGGAAATGCCAACCAACACCAGCACAGGCCGTCGGAAACCCACAAATCATCAGACCAGGCGTGTGCAAAACGAGCGAGCCCCCCCCCCCCCTGTCAATGGGATGAACCGGGAAAGGCCTGACGCCCCTGACAAGAACCTAACCGATAAGCAGAGCGAGCACCGTGCCAACCAAACGAAGGCAACGCTGACTAAGCACCTGGCACTACCTGCCTACCCTGACGAAAGGAATCCTGAGCCTTGGCATGACCCCTCCGGGAAGAACACCCCTTGGGCCCCCCGGAGAACCAACAAATCCGACATCGGACGACAACTAGCAGAAGCTGCCTGCAGAAGCTGCCTGCAGAAGCTGCCTGCAGACACTGCCCAACCGCAGACTCCACAAATAGCAAGGGACAGAAAGGAGGAAAACCCAAGAGCCAGGGCCCAGGCAGATTCCATGGTGCCCATAGTCGGAAAACAGCATGTAAAGGATTTGGGAATAATGATGTCTGACGACCTAATGTTTAGGGAGCATAACCAAGCAAATATTGCATCAGCCAGAAAAATGATCGGATGGATTACGAGAACTTTCAAATCCAGGGATCCCATCACAATGGTTGTACTCTTCAAGTCACTCGTGTTGTCCCGTCTTGAGTACTGCTCAGTACATACTTCCCCCCTTCAGAGCAGGAGAGATTGCTGAAATAGAGGGAATACAGGGAACATATACGGGACGCATAGAAGCGATAAAGCACCTAAATTATTGGGATTGTCTCAAAGCCCTCCAAATGTACTCACTAGAAAGAAGACAAGAGAGATATCAAATAAAATACACATGGAAGATACTGGAGGGAGATACTAGATATGATAAGAGAAGATACTAGATAAGTCTAAAAAAAATTTAGACTTAAATGTCCAGATGCAAGATAATGTTGACAGGAACAAGTTTGAAAGCTTCTTGATGGTTAAGCACACATCACTGATTGTTTGAGGACTTGCACAGAACATGCTAAGAATTCAAAGGCATTAACCCTTAAACTGCGCATGGCGTACATATACGACAGGACCCCAATGGCACCACAAGTTAAATTTTTTAAACTTGCTCTAACACTTTCAATTTTTTTGTGCATTATCAACTAGGCAAACACTCCAACATTGTCTAAATGATCAACATAACTTGAAAAACAATAAAATTCAAAATTATAAAATTTAGTATTGAAAATTTCAGTTTTCAGATCAGCTGCAAAAATATTAAATATCAATAATTGTTCATTAAGAGTTATGCTCTCAGAATGGTATATGATTATTTTAATCGAGTTAGAATATATATTTTCAGCTAAGTTTACTGTAAAAAAAAAATAGTCAATATGGCATTTGAAATATGCACCAAATTCAGACAACAAAATTATAACTCAAAATGTTTTAGAGTTTATGAAAAATCCATTCTAATAGGATTGTAGAACAGACAGCGGTGCACACTATGTAAAAATGGTGAGAATCGGTCAGAAAATGGATTTTTTGAAAGCTGACTCAATGTTGAAACTCTAGTTTTAGAGATATTTGAAGTTATCGACAATGTATAAGGTAGTTCTAATTCATTAATTTACTTTTATGTTTTAATAAACAGTGTTTGGCATTCGTACTCGAATATGAGAAAGTTGTAGGTCAATGTGTGTTGAAGTCAAGAAAAAATACCCCCCCCCCCAAAAAAAACAAAATAGGGATAATTATAATAATTTAGGGTGTATATTTAGGGTATACTTTATACAAGTCAAAAAGCCCTAATTTGGTCCCTAATCATCAAAACAATCTAAAGAAACAAAGAAAATAGAGTTAGAAATCTGTGAAAAAATAAGCCAAAAAAATTCAAAGTCCCAAGTTTTGCCAGTTATGACTGATTTATTTGTTGACCAATTTAATTCTATCTTCACATAATTATGGAATGGTATGCATTCTCTGGGATGTAGAGGTTACAACAAAATCAGATAAACAAAGAAAAAAATAATCTCCCCTAAAAAAAAATAATGGACATTGGTGAAAGTAACAGGTATTACCATTATTTATATGATATATAACAAAATAGAGCATAATAACATATTTACTCATTATTATTTGTGCTATTATGTATTACTCGGCAATTCTATAAAGGCACCAGCTGTATATCCCCTTTTGTGGGCACTTCTAACTACTACTGTACTCTTGTACAGGCGATGAGTCACAGTAACGTGGCTAAGGTATGATGACAAGACCACACACTAGAATCTGAAGGGACGACGACGTTTCGGTCCGTCCTGGACCATTCTCAAGTCGACTTGAGGATGGTCCAGGACGGACCAAAACGTCGTCGTCCCTTCACATTCTAGTGTACTGTACTCTTCTATGTGCATCGGACAGGTGCTTGCATCTCATTACTGCATTATCCCTCAGTTCCAGTCAATAGGAAATGTTCTCCTTTTCAACAAAACATTTTTAACAAAAAATTTCTTAAATTCCTTTCTGAAAATATTGGGATGAAACTTTCACGACGCTGAAACCAATAAGTTAGAGATTTGTTTAACATTTAATATTAATTTTCACAATTCAAATATATTTTCACCCAACCCCAGCTTATACCCCTATTCACAGCCCAGGCTGCAGCAGTGCAAGGGTTAAACTTCACCGTAAACAATGGGTGATTTGAGTACCTTAAGCATCATTGCAATCTGCACAACATGAAGATGACTAGTGAAGTAGCAAGTGCAAACAAGGAATATTCTCTAACATTGCAAGAACTCGTCAAAAGAGGTCATTACACACCATCTTTAGAATTTTGACAAAACAGGTTGAAATTTTTAACGTCATCTTGAGCTTACATCTCCAGGAAAGATGAAAAAGCAAAGTCTTCACATCATACCACTGAATCAAATGAGAAAATTGGTTTCAGTTCACATAGTTTCAATTAAGTGTCCATGCTACCAGGCATGCATCCCAGACAATAGAAGAATTACAGCATAGAAAAGTTTATAATTGTAACTATGATGATTACGAAGTACAGCAGCAAGTTACTAACATGCAATAGCACAGGAAGGCTCTCATATACAACCACAGCAGGGGTTTAAAATATAAACACTTTGGTTAACCTAAAATCATTAAGACAATTTCAAGACCAAAAAACCTGGGATGTAAATATTTTGCCAAAATAACTAAAATGTACAGAAATGCTTACCTTTTTTTCTACGAGGTCTTTGATATGCTTATTCCAGTAGTATTCTCGCACAACTTTGGTTTCCACGAGCACACCTTCAAATTTTTCACAGAGGTAATCCATAATTGACACTGGCCATGATGACAGCTCACCACTCAATTCATTACTAAAAAAATCCTTTGGTATACCTGAAAAATAATTTAATTTGCATATACAGTACTGCAATAGTTATTGCCAAATACTGTAGAGCAGAGTCTATTTTACGCTAGTCCAGTTTTACATGTACCACATCACCATGCACAAATCTGAACCAGGTAGTTTGCTCAAGAAACTATTGGAAAACCATTCATTCCAAGACCAATAATTTTATTATATGAAAAACTATATTTACTTACTTGTACAGAAGCCAAATTATAAACTTTACCAAACAGGCAAGAATAATATAACATGACATTATCAAGATTATATCACATTAGATTTTGTAAGAATTTCAGTAGGCGAGAGAGTGGGTTGGTGTGAGGAAGCTAAGTAATAGTTCTCTTTGCCAAAGTGGACAGAGGAGCATGCCTTGAGTTATTAATTAATATGTGCAATTTAAATGAGTCTTTGCAAAATGAAAACTGGTTACATATGGGTCTACTATATACAATACACATCCTTTATCATTACCTCCATTAAATCAGCCTAGAGGAAAACATAAGTAAATATGAAAAGCCATATTCTGGCAGATCACTTGGTTATCCTCTTAAGGCAAGATCCTACTTGCTTTTGGATAGAATCTTCTGCAGTCAGGAAAGATCTTCATCCTCCATTATTGTAGTGGGAATTTGTGGGTTTTGTTTTTGCATGATTTAATAGGGATCCCTGTTAAGTCATGCCTTTGCTAGGAAGAATAATCACTACAATCCAGAATGTATACACGAAATGTTCAACATTAGCCTGAAAGCCTTTCCAGGAAACTTGACAACAAAGCTTGCCAAGCTGTACCATGGTTAGCCACCTAATTATCCAGTCACATAACCAACCATTACCAGGTGGCTGAGTCAGAAACATCTCATCCTTAACACATTGAGGATTGAAACAGAGGATGATAGGAGGCGGCTACAAGATGACCTAGACAGACTGAATGAATGGTAAAATAAATGGCTGCTAAAGTTCAACCCGAGTAAATGCAAAGTAATGAAACTAGGCAGTGGAAACAGAAGGCCAGACACAGGATACAGAATATGAGATGAAGTACTTAATGAAACGGACAGAGAGAAAGATCTAGGAGTTGATATTACACCAAACCTGTCTCCTGAAGCCTACATAAAAAGAATTACGTCTGCGGCATATGCGAGGCTGGCTAACATCAGAACAGCGTTCAGGAACCTGTGTAAGGAATCATTCAGAATCATGTATACCACATATGTAAGACCAATCCTGGAGTATGCGGCCCCAGCATGGAGCCCGTACCTTGTCAAGCATAAGACAAAGCTGGAAAAAGTTCAAAGATATGCCACTAGACTAGTCCCAGAACTAAGAAGCATGAGTTACGAGGAAAGGCTGCGGGAAATGCACCTTACGACACTGGAAGACAGAAGAGTAAGGGGAGACATGATCACAACCTACAAAATCCTCAGGGGAATCAACCGGGTAGACAAGGATAAACTATTCAACACTGGTGGAACGCGAACAAGGGGAAACAGGTGGAAACCGAGTACCCACATGAGCCACAGGGACGTTAGAAGGAACTTTCAGTGTCAGTAGTTAACAGATGGAATGCATTAGGCAGTGATGTGGTGGAGGCTGACTCCATACACAGTTTCAAATGTAGATATGACAGAGCCCAGTAAGCTCAGGAATCTGTACACCAGTCGATTGACAGTTGAGAGGCGAGACCAAAGAGCCAAAGCTCAACCCCCATAAGCACAAATAGGCGAGTACATTCCACTTGGAACCCACAGTAAGAGAAACCCACCACCAAGTACAGTATGAGGGAGACAGAAGGGTGTGAATGGAAGCACTCTGCAATCCTGCTCAGAAAAGTGTTTCCCCTGTGACGATAATTTCTTTCAAGAGAGATTGAGCCTGCTCTTCCCTACATATTTACATCTTTACTATATTGAAGATACGTCCACCAGTATCGCCAAACGTTTTGCCCAGGAAGCAAAGCGTACCAAGCACACCCCGACACACCGGCTACTGCCGCCGTAAACCAGCAAACTACCCATTCTCCGCCTGCCTGTTGCTGATTGGCTGGTGTCTCGTCGCACCTGCACTCACGCCACCACAAGAGTCGACGTCTGGGTCAGCAGCACGCCGACTCCTCAGAATATCTCTGTGCTCCTTGGAGTTGACATATCTCTATTAGTAGACTAAGCCCTGGCTGTCGTGTACTAAGGGAGGTGGCAGCTTGAAGCCAGTATTCCCAGCACCTCACTTATTTGATTTTGCACTTACTTGTCTTAGAGTAACTTTTCATTGCCAGTAATTATTCATGTTGTTTTGTTTGCTGACTTGTTTTGAATTTTACGAGATTGTCTTTATTCATACAGTATCTTGTTTTCTAGAGTAATTAAAATTTCATTGTTTATACTTTGTGTTTTGTGTGTCTTCCCATTACCTTACCACAGACAAAAGGACAAACTTCTCTTTTTTTTTTGTTATGTGACGAGGCCCTGCCCCCAGCTTTTGAAACAGCCGAACACCAACACTTTACCGTCACATTACACCCCATTCAACACCTAGAGCTACATTTCTAAACTACCCACTTGTTTGCTCCATAACATGAATACTGGAGGAAGTAAACTTAATGATTAAGAAGATTCCTCAGCAGACAATAACAATAATGTGGCTGAAAATTAGACACTCAACCCGTCCTGGACCATTATGAAGTCAAGAAATAGAAGTGTGATGGAAAAAAGTTAATTTACAGGATATACTGTAATGAGGTGAAAAGGCAAGTAAGGTTGTAGTATAGGAAAAAGAAAAGGCATAAGGTTGAAGTATGGGAACTAGACTGAAGTAAGGGAAAGCAAAATACTGGTAGAGAGAATGAGGTGGAAGAGTAATGAGAGAAAATAACATAAAACAAGTCAGATCACATTTGTTAAGGCGAGAACATTTAAATATTTGTTGAGAAAGGCAAGTCAACAGCAACAAAACAAGGACTAGGAGTCATGTTGCGCATGTTGTGTATAAAGTAGATTAAAAAAAAAAGTGTCTGAAGAGAAGAGGAATGAAAGATTATTTTGAAATACCAATCTACAGGATTAGAGTCCCTAACATGACAGAAGAGAGAATTGTTATATCTGCAGACTTGATACATCTTGTGTTTTTTAATCTGCAATTTAGTGTGCAGACAGTTTCATCAAAGTATGGGAGAGGACAAGAACAGGAAATAGAGTGAACATCAGCAGCAGTGTGAACCAAATTACTTTAGTATTGGTTTGCAAAAGAAGAGTTTTATATAAAAGAATGAAGGGCACTAGTGAGATTTATGAGTTCAGATATGAAGGGAAAGCAGAGCAGTGTTACTAGTCTTGGAAGCAGGTTTGAGATGAAGGTTCTTTTAGCTTAAGAATAGGCACAATTAATAAAATTTAAAAGACAGCCAAGGTGAGAGAAACTTGTAAAGAAGTGAAATTTCAGAATCAAGAAACTGAGGGTCAATGATGGGTAGAACCCAGAGGAAGAAGATGATGAGAACATTTAACAGAAGGCAGATGGTAGGAAAAGAAATAAATATGCATGCAACTGTACAAAGGCTTATGGTAGACAAAAAAGCAACAGCTGGGAACATGTACATCTAGGAAAGGAAGGAGGTAATTAGATTCCCATTCAGCTTTGAAGTTGATAGAAGCCAAATTGTTATGGGAGAGAAAGGCTGGAGAAAAAAAAAAAAAAGACATCAGACCAAAGAACAAAAAAAAAAAAAAACAGCATTGAATATAATTAAACACCATTTTCTGGGCGAGTCCCGGAGGCTTCCCGGAGCTATCCAGGCTAATATCCCTAACTATTTGCATCAGTCGATATGGGTGGAGTTCTAGGACTACCAGGGACCACGAACTAGAACCTGGCCCCCTTCAGAGAGGCACGAGGAGCAATGGCCTATAGAAATGCACATGTGATTTGGAGCAGTCTATATCTGCCATCCACCGGGACAGGCACCCAGAAAGGTAAGCGCAAAAAAAAAAAAACTATTTTGTTTAAAAAGAACAAAAATTGCCAAACAAGTGGACAGAACTCCCCAAATGAAAATGGGCAATCAAGCATGACATCGCATGAGCCGCGCCGCATGTCTGTGCTGGTCCCCCCCGAATTCTTGCCGCGAATTCTTGCACCGTGCTGTGGGCCCGACGGAAGGATGGACCCCACCGCCGCTGGCCAGCCTGGTGAGCACTGGTCACAAAGTCCCAGCCGAGAGACGACTCGTCCATGAACACATCGACCAAGGGCTCAGGTAGGCGCTCCAAGGCACTGAACCCAGAAAAACTTGAAGAGGAAGCCGGCGATGCAGCAGCCGACGTGAGGCCCCTGGGGGCCAAACCCAGCGATCTTGAGAGAGAGGCGGAAGGGACATCCCCGAAGGAACCAGAACAGCCGACACTGCCATACCCGACCCAGCGGGTGACCCGGGAACCCTCCAGAAATAAGCGTAAGCGGGACCGCAGCCGAAGGAGAGACTCCGGAGGGAGAGACAAGGTAGCGGTCCAAGAGTCCCACACAAGACCAAGCCAGGTTGGAACCTGGGAGGGTATCAGATGGGACTTCCACCAGATCACCAGGAACCCGAACACGGCTAGCTGGGAAAGTACCAAACTCCTGGCGAGCAGACACACGGACCGACTGGAAGCCCAAACCAGCCAGTCGTCGAGGCAAGCCAACACCCGAACACCTAACAGATGCAGACTGGCCACCATGACCCAGGTATGGCATGTGAACACCCGAGGTGCCAGATTCACCCCGAACGGGAGACAATGAAAGCGAAAACTGACGCCCCACAACAAAACCGAGCCAGTCCCTGAACCCTGGATGAATAGGGACGTGCCAATATGCATCCTTGAGGTCCAGGGACACCATCCAAGTGCCCTGCTCCAACAGAAGCCGGACCTGGGACAGAGTGGTCATCCGAAATGAAGGGCAAGAAACCCAAGGGTTCAAACGGGACAAGTCCAGAATGAACCGCAAGTCCGCACAGTCCCATTTCGGAACTAGAAACAGACAGGAAACCCATCTGAGTGGCGTTGTCATTTTGACCATGTCCAAGTGCACCCACTCCAAGATGACCTGACAGCGCAGAAGCCTGCCTTGCCAGCCCCGAACCCCCCAAAGGAGGAGCAGCTGCCCAACACTACCACAGGCCACGAGAAACGACCCTAAAATCCCACAAATCACGAGACCAGGCGTAAGCGAACAGAGCAAGCCTTTCCCCATCTCCCTATCAATAGGCCGAACAGCGAAATGGCCGCTGGCCCATACAAGAACCCGACCTGCGTGCAGAGCGAACACCGCGCTGAACAGGCGCAGCCAGGACCGCAGGCGGCATTGACTCCGAACCCAGCACCTGTGGCCTACCCCGACGAGCTGAACTGCGAGCCCTGGCACAATCCCTCTGGGAAGGAGCCCCCCCGGGACCCCCAGAGAACCAACAAGTCAGACACCGGGTGGCAACTGGAAAAAGCAGTCTGAATATACTGCTCGACCGCAGAGGCCGTAAAAAGCAAAGGACAAAAGGGCAAAGACAACCTAAGAACCAGGACCCAAGCGAATTCCAAAGAGGAAGCCAGCACCGCTTGCCGACACGCAAGACGCGCAGCGAAAAACCGCAGCAGCGCCTTACGCAGAATCGACACAAACAGCTTCAACAGTGCAGACAACGCACGAGCAGCCGAGACCAAGGCACTAGACCCAGGAACGGCCCCAAACGCCTCTAAATCCTCTGCAAGCCAATCCGATGACGGCTCCAGGAGGAAAAAGAAACACAGGACCGAACCCAAGAAGTCACGTGCGCACCAGTCCTCAGCCACAAGCTCAGCCGACAGGGAAGAAACCTGCACATGAAGCCGAACCGCACCAACATCCCGCAAAAAGGCAGGAGCAAAAAGGCACTCATTAAGATGCTCAAAGTCGCCCCCCAGGTAAACCTGGACCACAGTCAACGCCTTGTGCCATTCAACATGCGGGTACGACAGAAGGAGTCCCAAGCATCCAGCGAAAACAAGGGGCAGTCTGCAATCCAGGACGAACCCAGAACCTCGTAACGAACCCAGTAAGGAGATGAAGATCCAAAACTGAGTGAAGACGGATCCATTATAGAGGAGACAGGTTACGCAGGAGGCAAGCCGCAATGGCCGACCGCACCTCAGTAGGCGAGATGCGGGAAACCTAAAACCTCCAGAAGGACGGAACCGAAGGATCCGCAGGGACACGGTATAAAACCCAGGGAGGAGCTGTACCCAAATCCAACTCGTATGCAGAAGGGGGAAAAGAAAACCCCACTCCTTGTAACATTAAGCCCCGCTCGAAGGGTCGGAAAACCCAGGCTGGGTCCAACGGGGACCACAATACCCCCAAGTCAGCTCCTCCCCAACCCTGGGAACCTCCACGTCAGGCCCTGGGGCCGAGTCATCCCCCAAAGCCCCTGCCTCAAGTAAAAGCCGGGGCAGCCGAAAAAGCAGGAAGAGAGGGGGGGGGGGCCACTGGTCAGACCCTGGAGTTGCGGCTGGAGGAACCTATTCGAATGCCTCCGTAGCCATCTCGGAAGGGGCAACACCCAAAACTGCCCGAGTCACAGAAACCTCTAAACCCTGCCCCGACCCCGAAGCCCTGAGACGCTTAGGAGTCGGAAGCAGGGTGGGAGGGGACCAAATAAACCACAGAAGGGAAAGAACGAGGGGGGCGCAGACTGAACCAAGGCCGACGCGAGCAACACCCCCCCCCCCCCCAAAGTCCGGGTCCCTATAAGCAAAACAGGGCAGCCTCGGGGCATCAGGGAAGCGACCACCCTAGCGTGTTGCAACAACCTAAACCTATCCTGCAATGCGCAAGCCGCCTGCACCCGAATAATATCATCATCAGATTGGGTGAACTGAGTCACAACAAGCAACAAAGCTTGCAGGACTCCAGGTCGAATGTGTCACCGACCCAACAGGCAGCATAACGGAGGCAAAAAAAATGAGTGTCGCCCTGAGACAAGGGGACAGAGCAACCCTCAAATTGGCCTAAAGCGAGAGGGGGGGACTCGGGGGTCTCCTCCATTGGACCTGAGTGACCCCCATGGTGTTTCCCAGGGCTCCTAGACTGGGTCTGCTAAGGGTTATCCCAGGTAGGGTACTGCTAACCGGTGCCCAAGCTACCAATCAAACTGCTAATGCTGAACCCCCGGGATGTGTCCACTCACGAGGGCAAAGCAGGGTGTACCACCACACACAAACAACCCTAATATAAGGGGGAAGGAAAACAGAGGCAGACACCTCTCAACTTTTGTGATTATAACATTTACCCCTTCTCCCACAAACCTAACAAAAAACATTCTTACTCTCACCACTTACAGCTGCTTCTGTTCATTTATTCCTGAACATTCCACATAGCTATATAAACCTGCCTTTACTGTGTGTCCCAGGCAGTTGTGGGGCCAATATATGAACATTTTTGCCATAGTAAGAAGAATGGTCCCCAGTTCAAACCACCCCCCATCATCTCCACCACTACAGATGGCTTGCAGAGATTATGGCATCACAAAGTTGGTTATTGAAGTTTCCACGGCCCTATGACTATAACCAAAAAATGTAAATACAAAACATTAGTCAACATTGAGCTACATTGAAAAAAACAAATGTACTGTATACAGTACTGTTTCCTGATCATACCTCAACACAAAAGTTGCTATAAGGATACACTGCTCAGTTTAACTTAAATACCAACCATATTTTTTTATTACTCAAAATTAATAAAAGTTTCATGTCAGTATACCGAGACATTTGAAATATTGAGTAAAGACATGTTGGGGGAAAAAGAATAGTAGACAGAAAAAGGCATAATGATTTAGGTTTAGTACCTGGAGATAGCAGCCAACATCAAACAACATTCACATACCTTGGCAATTTGGATTGATGAGATCTTTACGGTTGGAGAGTACCACATTTCCATAAATAAGATCAATAGAGGCTAACAATAATGAATAACAGCTAACAAGGTCCTGGGGAATACTTGGATATTTCCCTGAAAAAGTACAAAATTTTGTAAACAAATGTAATTTAAACTTAAAATAAACATGTATAGAGGAACAAAAACTAAATGCCTAACAGATCAACTGCTGCAAGTCTAGCAGATACCTCTAATGTTAAATTAGTATCATGCAGCTCTAAAGAATTCAAACAAAAATTACAAATGGCAAACGAACATTCATTATGATAACCTTGTACATTTCTTCCCATTATTATTTTGTATTTCACGTATGACAGATCATGATGAGAGATTAGGATATTGTGTGAACTTACAGCTAGCTCTTGTCGTACTCTAATTATACAGTGGTACCTCCGTTTACGAATTTAATAGGTACCCAGAGACGGTTCATAAACCGAAAAAAACTTTTCCATAAGAAATAATGTATATTGAATTAATCTGTTCCACACTCCCCAAAATATTAACTTCAAAATACATTTCATACATAATACTACAAATATTTTGTACTACAATATGTACAAGTTATATCTTACCTTTATTGATAACTTGTTGGCATATGAAAGATGGTGAGGAGAGGGGAAGGTGGTGAGGTGTTAGTGTTTGGAAGGGGAGTTCCCTTCCATTATAACATCAGGTACTGATGACATTTATGGGGTACTCTCACTCCTACATATTGCAGGCATACCACTAGGACCTGGTTGTGGCTCTCAGCTTGCTTATCTTGCTAAGAATCTGTCTAGACACTTGTTTTTCCCTAAATTTTAACACTTGTCTGTAGTGAGAGATCACATTGTCATTAAAACGGCTAATGCAACTGCCTGCTACAGCTTTATCTGGGCGACACTTTTCAGCAAAACTTTGCAGTTCTTCCCATACTGCACACATTTTCTTAATGAGGAAGGGACATTCTCTACAGCTGCCTCCTCCCCTGAAGAAATTTCCTCAGCTGTCTCTTGTTGCTGCTCCTTGTGAAGGGCTACGAGTTCGTCAGTGGTCAGTTCTTCGCTGTGTGTTTCTCCAACTCCTCCACATCAGCACCATCCAACCTAGCTAGTTCAACAACCCTCATACCATTTTCATGTTTACAAATGATCTCTTTTTTTTTTTCCTCTATCATCATCTTCACATTTGTTTTCTTAGGTTGAGCCTTACCACTGACTTTCTTGGGACCCATGGCGTGATATATAATAATTACTTTTATGTTCAGAAACCAACTAAATTCTTTACAAAGAATTAAAGCGCATTATCACTAGGCAGGAGACACTGCTAACTGAAGCACGCCTCGCCCTTACCACGAGGAACCACGCACTCGGTCGAACCATACGTGTATCAACAAAATTCGCCAAGCAAGGCAATGCTTGTAAACAGCCGAATTTTTTTAAGAAATTGAGCTCGTAAACCAAAAAATTTGTAAAGTGGGGCATTCGTAAACCGAGGTTCCACTGTAAAATAGAAAACTACAAAAAATATTGTACTGTATTTATGCTAACAGTTTTGTGAATACACATACCCTTGTTTTAAGTTACTTCGGCCATCGTTTGTTATTATAAAAGAGAGAAGTATCAAATTCTTACTAAACATATGCAATAGAGCACATTTGAAAATTATACTTTTTACTCTATTTCAACACTTAGTAAAGATAGGGAAAAAATAGTCAACTGTAGTGTCAAGAATAATGATTGCCAGACTGTCAATCCCCTTTTCCATGACAGTGGAAAGGGATAAAATATACGAAATAAAATACTGCATAGCATATACAAAAACTCCCACACTTTTTTGTGAAAAAGTGATCTCCTAAACAATCTTAAATAAAATTAATGCACATTACTTATTTATTGAGCTAATTAATATGGTAAATATAAATCTACTAAGGGAGACCCATCATGTGCATTTAGAAGAAAATGAAGCATGCAAATAATGAGTATTATTTGATTATAATTTGTATACTTGGCTTCCATATCTTATTTCTGGTACACTATTGTTATATGTACTGTAGTTGAATAATGCAATTTTTTCATGGCTTGTAAAGTACAGTATCTACTTGAGACTTATTGAATGTATATATGTATATTGGGAATGTATATATGTATATTGGGAAACCATTTACCATACCTTATTGCACTTGATTGTACAATACTGTAGAGTACAGTATTATTTGCAAATATTTTCATATTTTAAACATAACACAGACTGTATAAGCTTTGCATATAAAATTATATGCAAAGCATATAAATCATAGCTACAATGCAGTACAGCATTAACAAACCTACCTTTTATTAAGATATACAATGTCCAGCAGAAATGAAAGATTTCAGTACAGTTACAAGGAGGCCGTCGCTGTTTACGTGACCTTGGAGGACGAGGCAAGTCATTCGCAGGATCTTTGAACAGGTCTAGGAAGATAGGTTTGTACTTTTTAAAGATGTTGTTGGATACAGCAAAATTCCTCTCCAATAGCTCAACTCTTCGGCAGAAGCCTTCGTCAAAGTGCGACATAGCCAGCCAAGCCTTCATTTTCTTGATGAATTCTGTCAAACTATTAGAGGAAACAAGAAAATTATGCATTTAGAAGCATATCAGAATAAATATATTTTACAACACAAAATTTCTGCACAAAGAAAACAAGTGAAGTACACTTACGGGAGATTGCAGTGCTGCAACATTCGAGTAAGAGACACACAGTTGCCCTGGATCACATTTCCAGGGCGCCCTCCCACTGTAGGAACTGATCTTCGCCTGCATGCTGCATACAGTGCACATGCTAACCACGGTAGCTGCTCACCCTAAAAATTACACAAAATACTAGAGTTAAATATCAATGGAATCCAACATATCTTATTTACATAAACTGCACAGGTTGGAGATTAAGCATAACGGTCTAGAGAAAAAAATCATGATAACCAGGACAAGGAGGCAAAGAATAATTCAGCTTTATAAATACTACAAATTAAGACAATCCATGATCACTGTTTTCTGGAGAATTAAAATATTTCTGGAGTTTAACATTAAAACCCAAACACGTTTAATACAGCCTTTAAAGGAACACATTCCTGAGCCCCTATGCCAGACATATCAATACATACATGAAATATAGATGGGATACCCAATGGTACCTGGGTTGACTTTAAATGGTTGTACAGTTTAAGTGTTGAGAGCACCCAGAATGCATATCTGCCATCAGAACATGCATTTTGCATGTCAATAAATTGTCTAAATTATGTGATATAAACAGATGATAAAATTATGGACTCTGTAGCCACCATTTAATCTCAGCAGACCTCATAGGGGAGGGGGGGGGGATCATGGGAGCAAACCCCCTAAAGATGGGCAATGGGATCAACCTTGATCCACATGCGAGTCCCTTAACACCCTCCAGTCACCCAGCAAAGTTTAATTAACCCTTAGAGGGCAGTTATTGATACATGTTGATCCCTGGGGTAATGTGGTTTTCATATGATTTTAGTTATCTAGTTTTTATACAAATGATGTAAATATGGTTATAATATATTTATTATACAACTTAACAGTTGATATCTATGAATAAAAATTATTTTCTGATTGTTTCCAAAGCATAGAAAATGGTTATTCCCCTCGAACATTTCTTTGGCCTTTACTTCAGATGGCTTAGGGAAGATATCGTGAAGGTATCTGAAGGCTGCCACCTTATGAAAGATTGTCACAGCTCTAGATAAAGAGTTAGCAGCCTTCAAGCACCAACAAGAATTCTTTAAGCTGTTTGCAGCAAAGTTCAAAAAAAATTTAAAGGGAATAATAGCCATTTTCTATATTTTGGAAGCATAAATAATAAAAACAAATAACACTATAGACATTTTTTTAATTAAGTTAGACCCATGAAAATCTCTAATTTTTAATTGTTTACATTAAATGAAGTCGTCTTGTGCTACCAGCAAAGTAAATATCACATCAATTTGAGTTTTCCCAAATTGTCAGTCATTTGAATATATCTGTATGAATTTCTGGATGACCTTAGACAAAATACAGTAATAGCAAAGAAGTGGGTTGCAAGAAACTTCCTTTGAGCTGTGCCAGGAACTAATTTACATGCAATATAGGCATACATATTACTGTACATTGTAGGCCTGTAAACTGACAGCGATTCAGTACTGAATGTGTAAATAAAGTTATCCCAAACACTGTGTAAGTTAAATTAAAATTGCAAATAAATCTTAAAAAAATCAACACAGCTCACTCCTTCACTTAACTTTGCAGCTAATTTGTTACCATAACCCATGGACCAAATGACTTTCCCCCCTCTCCTCACCCAGCACTCCTCGTGTGCACAAAACCCAAAAATACCCTTTTCTTCCAGACAAAAAAAAAAAAAAAAAAGATACAGTACCTTTGATCTTAGCTGCACTCTAGGGGTTAATGACTACCCCGAAGCAGCCAACAACCAACCTTGGATAGACAGACATTCTATTTTATAGATACAGATTCTTAAAAATAAACTTACTGGCTCTCTGCAGGTTGAAGTGTAGAATGTGTGGGTGTAGGATGATCATGTGATTGTGTAGGTGTAGATGCATGGGGGGGGGGGACTTTTTTTTTTAAATACAGTACATTTAGTACAGACGTTCCCAGTAGATCATAAGCAATATTTCCAATTCAAACAACTATCAAAATGTCAATGTTGTATTGTATTGTGAAAGAGATACATTACAACAACAAAAAAAAAGGAACTGCAAAAGGTTTAATTGTCCAAACAAGGCAGCTTCTGAATCCTCTGCCTTCAAATGAGAGAGATTGTGTTCAACTATGTTTGCTCATTTGATTGTTTCTTTAATTAATATTAATGTTGGATTGTCATTTTTGTGGAAGATTACCAATGTTCTAAGATCAAATCAAATTTTGATGGACAATTGTCTAATTTTGCCTGGTTCTTTCTGCACCTAACAGACTGTTTTCTATACAGGTCTATTAGGTCATGCACATTGTAAATACTGTGTACCAAAGACACGCAAGTGAAGTGATGAATGTCACATATGGCTTCACTGAACTGCTTGATACCTGCTTGATGGGGTTCTGGGGAGTTGTTCTACTCCCCAAGCCCGGCCCGAGGCCAGGCTTGACTTGAGAGAGTTTGGTCCACTAGGCTGTTGCTTGCAGCAGCCCGCAGTCCCACATATCCACAACAGCCTGGTTGGTCTAGCACTCCTTTGAGAAAGTGATCTGGTTATCTTTTGAAGATGTCCACGGTTGTTCCAGCAATATTTCTTATACTCGCTGGGAGGATGTTGAATAATCATGGACCTTTGATGTTTATACAGTGTTCTCTGATTGTGCTTATAACACCCCTGCTCTTCACTGATTCTATTCTGCATTTTCTTCCATATCATTCCCTCCAGTATGTTGTTATTTTACTGTGCGGATTTGGGACCTGGCCCTCCAGTATTTTCCACGTGTATATTACAGTATTTGGTATCTCTCGCATCTCCATTTTAGTGAGTACATTTGGAAAGCTTTGAGACCGAGATGATTCCAATAATTTAGGTGATTTATCGTGTCTATGTATGCCGCATATGTTCTCTGTATTCCCTCTATTTCAGTAATCTTGCCTGCTCTGAAGGGGGAAGCGAGTACTGATCAATACTCAAGGACAAGACAGTACAAGTGATTTGTATAGTACTGTACAACCATTGTGATGGTATCCCTGGATTTGAAAGCTCTCGTAATCCATCCTATCATTTTTCTGGCTGACAAAATTTGCTTGGTTATGCTCCCTAAATGTTAGGTCGTCAGACATCATTATTCACAAATCTCTTACATGTTGCTTTCCTACTATGGGCAGATTTGATTGTGATCTGTACCCTGTATTTTGTTTAAGGTCCTCAATTTTTACCATATCTGAGTACCTGGAATTTATCACTTAAACATCATGTTACTTTCTGTTGCACAGTTAAAAATGTCATTAATATCTGCTTGAAGTTTTTCAGTGTCTTCAGCAGAGGTAATTTTTATGCTGATTTTTGTGTCTTCTGCAGGGGATGATACAAAGCTGTGACTTGTATTTTTATCAACATAAAAAATCTTGGATGGTAGGGAAGGTACAATGCCATTTCATATTTGGAACTTTAATTTGAAGCCCACTAGATTCCAAGAACACCCGGCAAAACATCCAACATAACAAGAGCAAACTCAAAGCCTTAAAGGCTAAGAGAGCTAGATATATTCAGAAAGGTACATTGCTCCAACTTGGATTCAAATCACCAAAGCAGCCTCTTCAAGCTTCCTACAAGGTGGTATACCAATGTATCAGAGAAGGCTTCACATCTGATGCTGAAAAACAGTTGATCCTAGTGCCATTTGTATGGTACAGCTTGTTCTGGGAACAGAGGCAGCTAAGAAGATGAACAAAGTCCCTCTGTCCAACGAGGTCTTCACAGTTAAAGATGCAGATATAAGCAGCGATATCTTGGACCAGGTTTCTCAGGAGATTATGGACAGTCCCACTTGCATCAGCCTCCAGTTGTATGAATCAAATGTTTCCAACACGAGTCAACTAAGCATATATAGTACACAAAAGTGAACTTAAAAATTAGTTCCTCTTTTGCAGGGCTTTCAAATAATACAGGTAGCAGATATATTCCAAATCTTGAATGAGTTTTTTGAGAAGTATCAGATCAAGTGGGAGAAGGTTGGCTTTGCCTGCATGGATGGTGAACCCAGCCATGATAGACATGTATATGAATAAGTTTAGGTGGATATTTCACATAAATAGGAGCTGTCTCATATGGGTAAATAGACCTTCTGCCATTTCCTTTATTCTTATATTCTTAACTTTGTATCCAGAAAGGTTGAGGACCTCACAGATAATTCTAAATGTAAGACATGACATAACCCTAGAATTTAAAAAATACAACAAATTAAAAAAGCAGTTGGGAAATATAAAGTAAAATGACGACCATTTCACAAGTCACCCACTTCCTATCCCCACTGAGGCCATTTGATATGGTGGCCCAAATTTCATTAATTTACCCAAGGGCCACCAATACCATTGACCTCGATGAGTACAGAAGCCGGCAGCTTGTCAAAACTCCCCTCTTGCCCTGATGATCTTTTTAAGTTGTATTTTAAAAACACAAGTTTTGGCATTTACGGTTTCGGTGGGTAGGCAGTTCCATGGTTTAATCTCCATAAGATCAGCAGTGTTATAACATGCATGTTGAGTTATAAGTCATGGTCATGCAGCCATCAGCTTTACTAGATCTCCTTATATGAAGGGAAATGTATGCTAATACAAGGTACACTAATTGCCAACTCTAAATCCAATTAATCAAAGTGGTAATTGATGACAGTTACATCAACCAATGCAGAGTTGTTCTGCACAGATTCTTGAGATTTCCTTAGAACTCAAGTAAATAAACTAATTTAATTACTAAAGAAATCTGATAAAATCATTAAGTGCACTAAGCATTTCAGCATATAATGCCGATACAAAATACTTGAATCTTGATCAAATTTAATTTAGACTCAAACAGATTAGCCTAATCACTTCAGTTTTCCATCAGGTCACCCTTCCATTACATAACCCCATACCAACATTATACTGTGCACTTCACACTTGTGGCATTTGAAACCTGGACCAAATACAACAGCACTAAACCATTATCAGAGCCACATTAGATTAGGGTAACTCGTGTACCAGGATTTCATTAATATAAGTAAAACCAGTTAAAACCCCTTGTAACAACACGCTGCACTGGTAATTTTCTGAACTTTCTGAAAGTTTAATTTTCAGGTCATTTTGAGAGCAGCTGGAAATGAAGACATCAAAGCTAGTCAATGAACACACGGTGAAGACTTAGTAAGTGCTGAAGAGATCATCAGCCGCGATACATACGCCAGAACCCTTATCAGCCAGAGTACTATCTCCTCAGTCATTACGCCCTATGCACTTTTGAACTTGAAATACCAATCAAGTTCTAAATCTCACAGATAATTACTCACTAAACTTAAAACTTATAAGGTTCTTAGGTCTTTCTTCCAATACTTATCCCTCTCTTCTAAAAACATGGGATATGATGACCTTGTGACGAGCCGTACGAGTGAGGAACTAAGCCCCACCCACCTGGCATTTACTGACATTTAATGACATTTTTACACATAAAAAGCCAAGTACAATGCCATTTGTCGTGAAGGTTCCCGTGTCAACAGTAACAGCTGAGCACTTCCCCTCTGTGCACAGGTCAAGCCACATACACGTTAGGTGTTAGACCCTCCAACAAGTGTACACACCAAAACAAACCAGCCGCTTACCTCTAACGTGTATTTCTGCTGAATATTCTCATAGCTAGTCCACGCTTCGTCGGATGCTGCTTGGTCTAAATTCAGATCAAGTGAAAGGTCGATGTATCTCCTCTTTACACTGAAGTGTACGTCAGTTTCACTCATGTTTAGCGTGCTATAATGACCACAAGCACACTGCCACCGGGGCGAGCGGCTCGACTATACTGGGCTGCAGGCGGTTGGTGGCGGGAAACCAGGCCGCGCGCCGCCCCGCCCTCCGCCGCTCCATCTAGTCCTCACCACATACACACTCTCCCGCAATCAAACCATACATTCCCATTGAATTATGGCAGATTGTAAATAAAATTAACTGCGTTTTACATCGAAAAATAAATATTTTGTTTAATCAATAGGGAGTTAGAGCATTTTAGCGACTTTTGTGGCGGAGCGTCATTAAAGTCCAGAGGTTTTGGCGGGAAAGTGTTGGGGCGGGGGCAGCTCAGTATTTACAAACACGACGCTAAGGCCTACCACAGGCCCACCTAGAGGCCTACCTGACCGCCCTTTAAATATAAATTTATAACCGTTTTTCTATTATTCGCTGTGCTTTCGTTTCTTTGCACATATTTACATTATATTCACTTTATTTGAGTTCAATTATACATTAGCATACTGATATTAAGAAAAACAGATGCAGTTTCTGAGATATTTACATATAATTAACAATTAACTGCCCGAAACGCTTTGCGTAATAATGGCTTTAGGCATTGTATGTAATAGCTCTATCTATAAATCCATCAACTTTTATATCTTACCATGTATGTATGTACCTTACCTGAATAAAAATGTATTATTTATTTTATTAATTGTTTTATTAGTAATTGTAAAAAGCTGCTCACTCTGTGCAGGAGTACATGTGCAGTTTCATGGGCTATATAAAAAGCATTAATAACATAACGTCACTGGATTTACTACACTTTAACAATATAAATTATTTTAGGTATTTATTTATATATATATATATATATATATATATATATATATACTGTATTTTTTATACTTAAAACGGGGTACCACCTCTGGTGCAAGTGTAGGGACCCATAGCTTCGGAGAAAATAATGAGTATATATATATATATATATATATATATATATATATATATATATATATATATATATATATATATATATATATATATATATGCATATATATATATATATATGTTGTACCTAGTAGCCAGAACGTCGTACTCGGCCTACTATGCAAGGCCCGATTTGCCTAATAAGCCAAGTTTTCCTGAATTAATATATTTTCTTTAATTTTTTCTTATCAAATGATAAAGCTACCCATTTCATTATGTATGAGGTCAATTTTTTTTTTATTGGAGTTAAAATTAACGTAGATATATGACCGAACCTAACTAACCCTACCTAACCTAACCTAACCTATCTTTATAGGTTAGGTTATTTTAGGTAGCCGAAAAAGTTAGGTTATGTTAGGTTAGGTAGGTTAGGTAGTCGAAAAACAATTAATTCATGAAAACTTGGCTTATTAGGCAAATCGGGCCTTGCATAGTAGGCTGAGAAGTGCGTTCTGGCTACTAGGTACGACATATATATATATATATATATATATATATATATATATATATATATATATATATATATATGTATATATATATATGTATATACCATATCTATATCTATATATATATATATATATAGACATATATATATATATATATATATATATATATATATATATATATATATATATATATATATATATATTGTGACGATAATCTCCTTCAAGAGATTGAGCCTGCTCTTCCCTCCAAAATTACGTCTTCACAATTATATAAAAAGACTATGGAAGAAATGTCCAACAACGACAACAACACCAGCACCAGCAAGGCTTGCAAGGGTGAGCAGAAACGTATGCAGCCCGCCACCTGTTCGGACCCAAATCACCAAACTACCCGTTGATCGCTACGGCTCCGCTGATTGGTCGCCGGTCTGGCTGCACCTGCACTCGCCCCCCAATACTACCCGATGTCTGGGGTCGCCCCAACATCAGTCTTCAGAATGTTCCGTGCTTTCGTAGCCAGCACACCTCCCAGCTAGACTCTAGAGTGTACTGAGAGAGGTGGTGGCTTTAAGCCAATATTCCAGCACCTCCCACTTACTGTTGTATTGCACTTCTTGTTATTTTGCCTTAACGTAACTTTTCATTGTGTCATTTAAGTATTCTTATTATTTTCATTGATTTTATTATACATATTTGTTTGTGCATTATTTTCATGTTTTGATTTATTTAACGTAATTAAAATTTCATTGTTAAAGTTTTACTTGTGTTTTGTGTGTCTTCTCCTTACCTTACCACAGACGAAGTTCCAGTTTTTCTATTTTTTTTATAACTATGTGACGAGGCCATACCCCTAGCCTTAAACAGCCGAACACCAACGCGTTACCGTCACAAATTTTTACAATACCTGTTTGATGTTGAACTCCTCCAGTGTCCTTTTGAAGAGGTCACTGGTGAAGTTGGTGCCACAGTCACTTTGAATCTCCCTGGGAAATCCGTATTGAGTGAAGATCTTCAATAGATGTTTGATAACCGTAGCAGCCGTGATGTTCTTCACTGGAACTGCTATGGGAAATCTGGTGGTAGGACACAGGATGGTTAGGATGTAGGCGTTACCTGAACTGGTCCGAGGTAAAGGACCAACACAGTTTATTATGAGTCTGTGGAAAGGTTCCGCAGGCACCTGTATGGGAATCAGTGGTGCTCTGGGAATGGAGACGTTCGGTTTGCCTGCCATCTGACATGTATGACACTGTTTTACGTACTGTTTGACGTTGTTTACCATACCTGGCCAGTAGTAGTCTTGACGAATCCCATGGTAAGTCTTGTTGAAGCCGTAGTGGGAGAATGCTCCATGGGCCAGGTGTAGAATAGTGGGCCGCAGGCTGGTGGGAATCACAAGTTGTTCGGTGTTGGCCCAATCGTCCTCCTCCTTCAGTTTACTGGGTCTATATCTGCGGTAGAGCAAGTCGTTCTCTAGGAAGAACCCAGGAATACTGTCGGGTTGAGTCTCAGCCTGGAAGAACAATGGTGTTAAAGTAAGATCTTCCCTCTGCAACTTACGGAACTCCAACTTGGTCAGATGCGGGGGTAGTTTCTGAGGGTCTTGAGGGACAGCGGTAGCAGTAGAGTCAGCTGGCTGTGGACGTGCGGCTTGTGCACGGGTGGTCACGAGAACCGGAGGAGAAACTTCATCACTCTCTTGAACCTCTGCTGGAACATACTCGAGAATAGGGTTACTTGGCACAGAGTTACACACCTGGGGTTTGTCCATGACGATCAGGTTGGTCGGTTGCAGGTCTTCTGCCAAGTCGTTGCCTAGGAGAAGTTGCACTCCAGGCATGGGAAAAGGCTTTTCCCTGACGGCGACTTGGACTTCCCCGTTCACGTAGGGACAATCCAGGTGGACTCTGGCGAGAGGGTATGGAGTGGTAGCAGTGAGGTCAGTGATGAAGACGGTTTCCCCGGTGTAGACTATGTTGGGCACAGCCGACTTCAAGATGATCGATTGTAGAGCCGCTGTGTCCCTCAAGATCTTCAATTTGAAACGTCCCTCCGGATTTGAACCGTTGGCAGAGACAGTTCCAGTATACAGGTGGTTACTGAAAAGAGAAAGATCATTAACATCAACACCAACATTCATCACAGGCTTACCGGACTTAGGAGGAGTTGGTTTGGGTCGTTGTTGTTCAGTGGTTCCCTTGTATTGAGACTTACCACACTTGTCTATGGTATGTCCATAGAGTCTACAATACTTGCAGTACAGTTGTGAACCAGCTTGATCGGGGCTCACCTTCTCGTAACTGTACCACGACTTCTTACTGGGGGATGGTTCAGGTGTCAGCCGGTGGATGAGGCTGTAAGTGTCAGCCGACTTAGCACACTTCAGGTAGTCGGTTTCTTCTTTATCTGCTAAGTAGAGGCGGACAGGAGGCGGCACACGTCTCAAGAATTCTTCAACAAGCATCAGGTTGACGAGTTCTGTAAAAGTAGAGACATGTGCTGCTTCCAGCCATTTCATGAAATACCTCTGTTTCGTGTTAGCAAACTCGAGGAAGGTAGTGGTACTTGCCTTCAGGTGGTCACGGAATTTCCTTCTATAACTTTCAGTAGAGAGGAGGTAGGCGTCCAACACCGCTTGTTTCAGAGTGTAGTAGTCATTCTCAGACGCCAAAGTACTGAGTGTGACTGCAGCTCTACCTGTAAGATGGACTCTGAGAAGTGTGGCCCATTGGTCGACAGGCCAACTGAGTTGATTAGCAAGGGTTTCAAAGGTGGTAAAGAACACATCAACTTCTGCTTCTACAAAGGATGGCATTAACTTACTTGCATGTGATATATTAAAACTGACGGGAAGATTGGCAGTAGCTTGCTGGCGTTGAGCGAGGTGTGAAGTTTCCAACGTGTATTCCCGTTGACGACACTCAAGAGCCAGAGTCGCTTGTTGCTTGTCATGTTCGCGTTGAATCTCCAACTCGCGTTGTTTGGTTTCAAGCTGTACTCTTTCCCGCTCACGGAGCATTGCAAACTGTACTCGTTCCCGCTCCTGGAGTAGTGCAACCTCACGTTCTTGTTCGTCTCTCCTCAAGGCAGCTTCACGTTCTCTGAGGGTGATTTCTCGTTCTTGTTCTTCTCTTCGTATGGCAGCAGCTCGTTCTTGTTGTTCGAGGGCTTCCCTTTGCTGTTCGCGGGCTTCCTTTTGCTGCTCACGTTCAATCTTAGCCAGCTCTAGTTTAAGTTTCAGCGTTGCCAAATCAGTTTTATCTGCAATATAGTAAGTTTCATGAGTTTCAGAGTCTATCTTACCTTGCTCTAAATAGTAATCCAGCAACAGGTTGTGTAGGTCATTTTTGTTGGCTTGATAGGGAACTTCTAGTTGATACTCATGTGCAAGAGTTTGTAATTCAGTCCTCTTGGCACGACTTAAAGTCCCTATTTCGCCTGCTGGATTTGCACGGAAAGTTTGGAGACGAAACATGGTGAAATTAGCAAATAAAGGTACACGAATGTTCAATAATGAAATGTCAGAAACAGGACAACGTGGCAACTGGTACCTATCCTGTGTGATCTTTAACAATTAACGTTAAGTGAAAGATATTAAATGGTTAAATTAAAGCAAGGGCGCAGGAAATCTTGTACCCGGTACTCATGTA